AGTGAGAGACTAACCAGCAAACACTGGGGCCCAACAGGTGAGGGTCTAGGCTAGTGTTTTCAGATGACATCAAGTTTGTAAGTAACTGGGTTTGGTCATGAACATTTTCATGTTTTGATGATTCCTGCTTCCCTGTGCAGCCACATTACAGCAAGGACTCAAAAAATGAGAAGTTAGATAAGAGGTTCCTTATCCCTCTAACACAGAAGCTGCTATAGTTTGAATGACTGTATCCCCCCGCCCCCCAAATTGATAGGAGCGGGGCCTTGGGAAGGTGCTTAGGTCACTAAAGTGGAGTCCTCGAGAATGGGATTAGTGTTCTTATAAAAGACACCCACAGTGGCCCCCTCGGCCCTTCCACCTCAGGGGGACTCAGCGAGAAGCCAGCGACCCGAATATGCTGACATCCTGGGCCTGGGCCTCCGGCCTCCAGCCTCCAGAACTGTGAGAATAAGAAGCCACCCAGCCTGTGGTATTTTGTTACAGCAGCCCGAACAGACTAAGTTGTAGACACACCACCCCCCCCCGACACACACACCAGTATAAGGTGCCTATTGAACGCCAACAGGAGCACCGAGGCAGAAACAAAGCGCCGTGCTGGGCTCTGGAAGAGGCCTATCAGCGAGGCACTCGTGGGAGTGGAGTATTTGCACAGTCTCAAGATGTAAGTAAGGCTCTTCAGGGCCAGCAAGGGGAAAGTGCATGCTGGCCAGAGAACACCATGTACGAAGTTCAAGGGTGTGGAAATGGGTGGCTAGAGGACAGCAAGTAACTGATGCAGCCAAAGGGTTCAGTTGAGTTGAGGGATGGAAGGACAAAATATTGAGTCCAGACAGACAGACTGGGCCGAGCTTCTAGGAGCCTGGTAGCTACGGCCCAGGGTTTCCACACTGCCACACTATGGACATTTGGGGCCAGCTACTTCTTTGTTGCAAGGGACTGTCTCTGTCCTGGGCACTGGAGGGTGTTAGCAGCATCCCTGGCCTCTACCTGCTAGATGCCAGTAGCAGCCCGTCCCCATATATGACCACCAGAAAGGTCTCCAGACATTGCTACATGTCTCCCGGAGGAAATCGCCCCCATTGAGAACCACTGGTGTAGTATAAGCTCTATGTGGATAGGGATGGCTTCGAACAGGCGACCTGGGGCTATTTGTTGAATGAATAAGGGAGCAAAGTCAAGAAGATTAGAGAGAGAAAGAATACATTTTCTTTTTTTTTTTAAAGATTTTTTATTTATTCATTTGAGACACAGAGACACACACACAGAGAGAGAGAGAGCGCATGAGCAGGGAGAGAGGCAGAGGGAGAAGCAGGCTCCCTGCTGAGCCAGGAGCCCGATGTGGGGCTCGATCCCAGGACCCTGGGATCATGACCTGAGCCGAAGGCAGACGCTTAACCATCTGAGCCACCCAGGCGCCCCGAAAGAATACATTTTCTGAGTGCAGAAGAAATACAGAGGATTAATGAGGATACAAAACATTTTAAAGAGAAGTGGAGGCAAGTGGAGTAAGTTCACAGTGAATGCTGAGATCAAGGTCTTTGCCGAGAGGCTCAGAAGATTTGCAATTTACAGAGGACAGATAAGAGTCAAAAAAGTATGGAGAGGAGTGCCTGGGTGGTTCAGTTGGTTAAGTATCTGCCTTTGGCTCAGGTCATGATCCTGGGGTGCTGAGATCGAGCCCCGCATCGGGCTCCCTGCTCAGCAGGGAGTCTGCTTCTCCCTCTCCCTCTGCGCCCACCCCCGCCCCACCCCACCACTCATGCTTGCTCTCTCTCTATCTCAAATAAATAAATAAAATCTTTTTTAAAAAGGGTATAGAGAAAGCTTGGGGATGGACCCCAAAGTAAGGCATTCCCAATCCTGGAGTGTATGAAAGACAGACAGTAAGAGCCCACGTGTTTACTGTTTTATTTTAACAGTTAGGAATTTAGTGTATATTTTTAAAATACCTATTTTCTGGGGCGCCTGGGTGGCTCAGTCGTTAAGCGTCTGCCTTCAGCTCAGGTCATGATCCCAGGGTCCTGGGATCGAGTTCCACGTCGGGCTCCCAGCTCAGCGGGAAGCCTGCTTCTCCCTCTCCCACTCCCCCTGCTTGTGTTCTCTCTCTCGCTGTGTCTCTCTCTGTCAAATAAGTAAATAAAATCTTTTTTAAAAATACCAATTTTCTGTTGACAGTAGCTCTATAAGTGTCTTTGTAAAGAAGCCAATAGAAAAAATTAAGCAATAATGGGACAGGTCAGACTGGGCGAATTGTGAAGATGGCATGTGAATGACTCAAGTTTGGAAGGACATGAAAGGAGCTGGGGCCCAGTTGAAGTTGAGGCACATGACCTCATCTACCTGTTCTGCCGGGCCTGTCTCTGGGCCCCACCACCAGCAGTTCCCTATAGCTTCATGCTCTGCCTACCATCTTCTGCAAAGGCTGCCCCAGGGACTGCAGTTCACGGCCGTGGTCTCTTTGCTCCAAACACCCAAACTTCACTTTAAATATCTTCTAGCTGTTTTTTGACTTGTGTTTGGCATCCTTAGCCGGGAGTGCCTTGATGGTTGGAATCACACCTACATTCTTCCTTCCCTCACCCCACCCTCCATTCCTAGGCACAGGGAAGGGTGTGGAGACCCTGGGATTGGGTGTTATCCCTGCGGCGAGCACTACCAGAGGAGTCACCTACTTAATATCAAGTCAAAGTAATGACCTGCTAATAATTTCCCTGTTTTTGTGACAGGCACAGTCAGTGATACAGTTTCTAGGTATTTAAAACTCAATCATTTGTTTCCTCTGCATGTTTCTAAGTGAGTATCGGGGAGATAATCTATGTCAGGGTCTTGCTCTCCAAATCCAAGTACAAGGTGGTTTTATTTCGACCTTTGGGAAACACATAGAAAAGATACTTAGGTCCTCAATCTCCAACCTTCCATGCCCCTGTGTCCCCAACACTCGCTCCGGATGCAGCAAGCAAAATCAATAGACGGATACAGTATGAGTGGAGGACAGGTGTCATTTCACTTTCATGACTTTGACAAACAGAAATCTTGAACTAGAGGGAAGAATAGCATTCTCTAAAATAAACAGAATAGGAATCCTGGATGGTGAACAGCTTCTCAGAGCTCCAGGAATACCAGGGACAGGCTGTACTGTGCTGTCGGGTCCTGAACCAGTGTTCTAAACACCCGGCAACATTAACTTCGCGTCTTAATCAAGGCTGAGCCACTCTCAGCTGCCTTTAAAGCATTACCTCCCCAAGAATTCACTCCAAGTACCACAGGGCTTTTTTTTAAGTCCTAGGTACCACAAATTGCACTTAGCAACTACCCAACCATATTATTTCCTTCCTGCCTAATGTAATTTTTCTGTTTTTCTATATAAAGGACTTCAGCTATTTAAAAAAAAAAATCCTCCCTCCCTAAATTAACCTGGCTTTTATTTGTTTTTAGCAATCAAACGAGCTAGGAACAAGAATAAGGCAGTGCCTTGAACTGGCTTCTAAGTAACCAGATGTAAAGATGTTGCTCCACAGCCAATATTTAAAATGGCAAATTGTTCTGTTAGGGACAGGGGCAGGAGAGACAAGAGGGAGGGAGGGCTTAACCTGAAAGCTAGACTCTGCACTTTGTCCACTGGACAAGGCTCACCTGCATATGATGTCACATGCCATTCCTGCCTGCCCCTCACTTCTTAGTCATTTGCTCACTTATGCAACCAATAATTATTATGTAGGTATGGGGGAATCATTGAATAAGTCTGGCAAGAGCCTCACCCTTGAGAGCTTGCAGTCTAGTGGAATTTAAACAGATAAACTAGATGATTTCAGTAATTCATTCATTCCACAAATTATTATTTTTTCAATAAATAATCATTGAGCCTTTACTATATACCAGGTACTGAAAATAATTTATTGAGCAAAATGAGCAAGATCCTTGCCTTCAAGGACTTATATTCAAGTGGACATTAAACAAATAAACAAGATAATCTCAGAGAGTGATGCATGCTAAGAAAAATGCAATGGAATGTTGTGATGGAAGAGCTAGGGTTTGGAGGATCTCTAAGGAAAGGTGATGAGGGGAGCTCTCTCTCAGGGTGACATCTGAGATAAGACCCATCTAGGAACTCAGGACCCTATTTTCCCGTTTCAACTAGCACCCATGCTTCCTAAAACACCCTTCATTTAGGCATCGATTACAGTGTCTGGTGTAGTTTCTCTGCGTCTATGTCTTCTACCCACCCAGGGTCATAATTGCTGGGAGGGCAAGAGGAATGAACACAGAGCTGATTGGCTGGTTGGTTGGATGACTTTGGGGCCCCCACAGTCCAGGCTGAGAGCGAAGGTGGCTAGTTGGTTGGTTGGTTAGATGGCTTTGGGATGCCCACAATCTCAACAGAGACAGGAGGTGGCCGGTTGGTTGGTTGGATGACTTTGGGGACCCCACAGTCCAGGTTGAGACAGGAGGTGGCTAGTTGGTTGGTTGGATGACTTTGGGATGCCCACAATCTCCATAGAGACAGGCGGTGGCTGGTTGGTTCGGTAACTTTGGGGACCCACAGTCCATGTTAAGACAAGAGTTGGTAGGAATGTTCTAATGAGGCGCCATGAACATTTGCTCAACTACACAGCACAGTACTGTCCGTGTAGGAGGGCTTACTGGACCCGTCCACTGAACCCGTCTACAAGCCTGGCAACGCAATGGAACCAGCACGCGAGAAAGGAATGGCCAGGGCGCCCAGGAATCCTCTGGGCCTGGCCCAACTCTGCGCAGAGGTCAGCGCTGCCGGCACCGCCCGCGAGGGGGCGGGCAGCCGGCCGCGTACCACGCCTGCGCAGCACAGTGCCTACGCCGGCGGCCCCGGGCGCTGCCCCGGAACTGCGCCGGCGCGTTGCGCCCGGCGCTAAGGGGCGGAGTTTCGTTGCGCCGCGCGCTAGGCTGGGGCAAAACCCGGGCCGGGATAGGGCGTGGGGCAGCGCGTCGGGACGTCCCTCGCGTCGCGCTCGACGACGCGTGCGCGCTGCGCGGCCGGCGGGGTGTTTGGGGGGCGGGGCGGGGGCAAGTGTGGCTTTTTTGCCTCATTGTCCCCTAGCGCCTGCCGGTTAGCGCGCAGGCTGCCGGCATCATGAAGATCTGGACTTCAGAGCACGTCTTTGAGTAAGTTTGGGGCGTGGGACAGGTCGGCGGGGCGTATGGGGCAAGTGCAGAGTGGGCGGGCAGTTCAGGCCCGGAGTCGTGGCGAGGCCGGGGCGCCCCTCAGGAAGCTTCCAGGCGTCGGGCCTAGTGGCGGGGGGAGCGGGGCGGGAGTACCACGGGGCCCGGGGGGGGGGGGGCGGGGACTCGAGGTCTGCGGCCCCGGCGGTGGAGAGAGCCCGGGCCTTGAGGCCTCGCCGCCGTCCCGGCTGGCAGGGGGTCCAGAGATGGGCACTGGCAGCCTGGCCCCCGGGGAGGTCCCCCGGGCTGGTGGGGGCCTCGCCTGGCACGAGGTCCTCGACTGCACTCGGGGTGGGAGAGGCCCCTGCGTGCCACTTCCGGCCGTGCCAAACCCGGTGGGACGGGGACCCGCGGATTCCAACAGGAAGCGTGGGCGTTGTCGGGAGTCTGGTCGCCCCCGCCACCTTTGGATGGAGTGTCTTCCCGGGTGAGCTCAGGCGACCAGGAGGAGAAACTTTTCCGGCAACTCATGACCTGAGGAACGGAGCCTTATTACAATTGGAGTCCAAGGTCCAGCTCTGGCTCCAGCATACTGTGTGACCTTGGGCTGCCCATTTTTATGGGAGACACGGAAGACAATGGTGCCGTCCGGGCCTGCCACTGGAACATGACTTTGAGGCCACGCTCAGTGACATCTCTTGGTTAGAATTTTTTAGTAACACAGAAGGCCTTAAACTAATTAATTGGATATTGGGAATTGAATCTCCTTCTGGGTCCATGATTCATATACAAACGAACCACGCATATAAGCAGCTATATCATTTTTTTTGCGTAAAGAAACAGCTAATCCTACTAGTTAATCGAGGGAAGCACTCTTCATTGACCAATGCGCCCTCCTGTCACTGATTTGAAATGTCACCTTCGGCCTAAACTCTGTTGTGATTCACACTTGAATCCATTTCTGAGCCCTCTGCTCTGTTCTGCTGATCTTGCTGTTGTTGCCAAACTGTTTTAATTTTTATAGCTCTGCAGTATGTTTTAGCTTAACCATTTGATTTTTTTAAACCATGTTCCCGAGGGCAGTTTTAAAAGAAGTTGTAAACTCTTTGCATATTTAGTGAATCAGACACATCCAAGAGTCCATGGGGTCCTGGGAAGTACGGAACGTTAAAATCAGAGGGAAGATTCCTTTCTCCATAATGCTTACAGTCTTTCTGTAAATTTGTGATCTTTCTGATGTTCTTTACCTGGTAGCAGTCTTTACTACTCTATTTCAGCCCTTGGGATCATAGGTGGTTTCTTGCTGGCAATCCTCTTGCAGATTTCAGTGCTTCAGAAGTTCTTTGAACTTTGCATCTCCTTAGAACGCTCTTCTGTCTTCCCTAACATTCTTCTCCTTGCTACCCCTCCACTTCTGCTCTTCTCTTCAGTGTTTCCCTCTCTTCCGTTTCAGTGTGAACGTTTAAGGAGATTCTGTTAGTGGCCTTCTTGTCTTGGATTTCATCAATGATCCTTAATCTTTTTGCCACAGACGTCTCTGAGATTTGATGAAAGCTCTGGGATCCTCCTCCCAGAAGATAGACATATTCAAACAAATGCTGGACGTGTTCTGGAAGAAGCAGCCGTGATCCTGATTCTCCCCAAATAATCTGGGCTTTTCAGTCAGGGTCCCAGCTGATAACATACATACTTAGGACACCCAAATCTGTACCTTGGGCTCCAGCCTCGAACCTCAAATCCTTATTTTCAGGTCTTACCAGACATCTCTGCTCACATGTCCTGTGGACTCCCCAAACTCAGTCCTGAAATGGAAGTTACCATCTCCCCTCACAAATCCTACCATTGCCAAGTGTTTCATGTCTTAAGGACACTACTGTCTACAATATCAAAGTCATCATTCTGTCTTACCCATATACATTCAGCACTTCCTTCCTTTTTTTTAAATTTTTTTATTGTTATGTTAATCACCATACATTACATCATTAGTTTTTGATGCAGTGTTCCACGATTCATCGTTTGTGCATAACACCCAGTGCTCCACGCAGAACGTGCCCTCTTTAATACCCATCACCAGGCTAACCCATCCCCCCACCCTCCTCCCCTCTAGAAGAGTCCATCGTCTCTCATGGTTCGTCTCCCCCTCCGACTTACTCCCCTTCATTCTTCCCCTCCTGCTATCATCTTCTTTTTCTTTTTTCTTAACATATGTTGCATTATTTGTTTCAGAAGTACCGGTCTGTGATTCAACAGTCTTGCACAATTCACAGCGCTCTCCATAGCACATACCTTCCCCAATGTCTATCACCCAGCCACCCCATCCCTCCCACCCCCCACCACTCCAGCAACCCTCAGTTTGTTTCCTGAGATTAAGAATTCCTCATATCATTGAGGTCATATGGTACATGTCTTTCTCTGATTGACTTATTTCACTCAGCATAACACCCTCTAGTTCCATCCACGTTGCTGCAAACGGCAAGATCTCATTCCTTTTTATGGCATAATATTCCAATGTGTATATATACCACATCTTCTTTATCCATTTATCTGTCGATGGACATCTTGGCTCTTTCCACAGTTTGGCTATTGTGGACATTGCTGCTATAAACATTGGGGTGCACGTACCCCTTCGGATCCCTACATTTATATCTTTGTGGTAAATACCCAGTAGTGCAATTGCTGGATCGTATGGTAGCTCTATTTTCAACTGTTTGAGGAACCTCCATACTGTTTTCCAGAGTGTTTGCACCAGCTTGCATTCCCACCAACATCAGCACTTCCTTCTGAGGCTTCACATATAGTTGGCATCCAGGTGAAGCCATTTATTGATTCCTTCAACAAATAGGAATGCCCACTATGTGCCAGCACTCTTCTTTGAATTGGTTACGTATCCGTAGATTAATCAAGACATTGTTGCTGCCTAGCTGGAGTTAAGTATACCTGAATGTCCACCCACCTCATTTTCTAGGTGAAGATATCGGGCAGGTGGGTGAGGTTCTGCCTGCCCTTTGGTGCCATTCTGAGTGTCTTCCAGTGTGAGGTCTTTTCACATGATTACATTAGTAGGGTTCAGATAAATTGCTGGAAGACCGTTAACATTGCATCGTTTGTAATGTTTGAGTTAATTATGTTTCGTAAAGCAGTCTTAGTTCAAGTTAAGTCAACACCAATGTTTTCGAGTTGGCTCGGAGTAGAGAAGGACTATATTACAAATAATACATAACCACCCCGAAGCTGTGTGCAATTATTAATTTTTTAGAGGGGATGGGGGGAAGAGAGAAGTGCAAGGAAGCCAGATAACTGTGGTATATGACTAGATGGAGACAGGGACAGGGTTCATCTGATTTTCATTTTAGATAGTTGCCTTGGTAACAGTCTGAGTGTTCGGCCTGTATCACTTCTATTTGTGGGGACTGTTTAGATTTATGAAGTAGCTCCCCTTATGTACCTGCATTGATTGCTGAATAAGGCTTGAGATTAAAAACAGAATGAGGTTCATTTATATAATAGCAAAAATGAAAACATTAAAAATGTCACTGGTTGTCCAGGGTACTGGGAAATGAATGGTGTTGAGATTTTCCCTCTATTGGCAAGAAGTAGTTGTCAGGCTTAGTTCTCTGAAAAGTTGAACTGGATTAATGGCCTACCTATTTTGCTTTTGGAAAAATAAAAAGTAATGCTGTGTGGTTTATCAGTAAGTGTGGTTTGAAACATTATCTCCAGATCTCTTTTTTCCTTTCAACGAAGACAAGAGCGCAGATAGGGTAGCATCAGACTGCAGGTGGGCTCAATCACCTCTAATACTCATTGTCGTTAATAAGGGGCTCTTTTGAAAAGGATGGCTTTTGTACGAGCATCTTATTCACACAAGTTGAGAAGTGAACAAATGTACATCACATTTTGAATCATCCAAGCACACGGGCTTTTTCAAGAAGATAATATTAAGAGAGAACATTAGAAAAGAGTATATTAGAAGCGCCTTAAAAACACTTCATGGTGTTGAGTGACCTTTTCAGAACAAATCAGAATCACTCCTTTGGGGAAAGCAATGGATAAAGATTGACTGGAGGGGCCACTGTTACTTATTACCTTTATATAGAGAAAAATATATTTTTAATTTATAGTATTTAAATCAATAATACTTTGGATCTTTTTGTAATCCCTAAAAGAATTTATGGTGTCTATAATACTTTTACTTTTGTTACATCTTTATAGCTTTATGGAACTGGGGCCAGACAAAAGAACAAACAGTGTAGTAATAATTTTTCCTGCTTGTTTTCATAGAACGTATTTTTTAAAATACATTTTTGTGAATCAGTGATTCTTAGAAACAAAATTTACATGTGAAAGTGAACATGGGTAAATAGGAAAGATTGTTTAAGAAACAGTTCTCTAATGTGTTATAGGCTCTTTATATCTTTATAGACCTCAGTTGTACCATATAGCCTGTGTGCTGGGAAAATACTGAATTCTATACATAGTCAAAATGTAGATTGAGCTCCCCAAATCATCTTTTAGTCAGTGTTTCAGGAAATAATTTTCCCTAGTTAAATTAATTAAACTTCAACTGTAAAGAGTGATTTGATGGATTATAAAAACAGTTTAATTTATATGCATATTTTTCAAATGTTTGGTTTTTGGTTCATGTCGGCAGCCACCCATGGGAAACTGTTACGACAGCTGCAATGCAGAAATACCCAAACCCTATGAACCCAAGCGTGGTTGGAGTTGATGTGTTGGACAGACATATAGATCCCTCTGGAAAGTTGCACAGCCATAGACTTCTCAGCACAGAGTGGGGACTGCCTTCCATTGTGAAATCTGTAAGTGTGTCTTTATTCCTGTGGAAATGTGACTGCTGTAGAGAAGTTTTCTAAACCACATTATAATTTCAAATAGGTTGTGGGAGCCGATTCTGAATGTCATTTTTGCATCAGTTCAAATTGTATTATAATAAACTTGAGTTATGAGTGTATAATGAATTGGAAATATTATTACAGTCTTCATGAAGGCGCCTGATAAAACCTTCTGAAGGAAGCCAGCTAATGCTCTGTAATCTAAAAGGAGTTCTGTTCTGCTTTTCCTGCTTTTGCCAGCCACTTCAGACCAGTAGTAAGATCTGGAAGCCATGGGCTGGTGGCGATGGTTAGCTGACAGTGGCTGTGGTCATTGGTGGGTCATGACACTAGTTGAGGAGCGTGTTCTCAGGCTCTGCTGTGCCACAGTTGTTCCGAGGTTTGAGACTCCTCCCCATGCATTTAAAAACTGAATTCTGTTCAGTTACATGTGATCAGGCTTTAATGAGCCAATTTAACCAGCAAGAAACTGGAGTGCCAGATGATTACAATGTGAGAGAACTCTGGTATAATAAGCAGACTCAGTTGGGGAAGGTAGGTCCACTCAGAAAACTAAAGGACATATTTTTCAGCAGGAATGTCCTGATTGCTTCCTTTGCACAAACCACTGCGTTAGATCGTAGGGACGCAGAAGTGAGCAAGGTCAGGGGGTTGGCTTGGGCTCGTGCACAGGAGTGATGCTGGGTAGGGTGTATTATCTTCCGTCATGAGGTGGCCGTTTTTCTGTCTGGAGAACGAGGCCGCAGCACCCTCTCCCTCAGACTGCTCTAAGAAAATCCTGACATATTCTCAAGCTCTCCTTTCTCCAGATGCTATGTTTACCCAAATATTCTGATTTCCATATTTCAGGCTCAGTGCTCCATTGTCACACCTTGGTGGTTTCGGTGTCTGCTTTACACTGCCTGCGTTCTCCCTGGGCTGGTCGCTAATTGCCTCTGGGAAGGGTTTTTGTATCCAGCAGTCTCATTCATGGTGTGTGAATTCCCGTTACCCTCCAGCGGGCCTCCTTTCTGACTTTTGTCTGATTCCTCCTGTTTTTTACGAAACAGATTTTTTGGTTCAAGATATTAATACATTTTTACCTTCAAATAAAATATTGATACACTTGTTAAGAAATCCCTCTTCCTCTGAATACTAATTGTAAATGTTTTATTTAGCTTATTGGTGCTGCAAGAACTAAAACCTACGTGCAAGAACATTCTGTAGTTGATCCTGTAGAGAAGACAATGGAACTTAAATCTACTAATGTAAGTGTGGGCTCCCTTTTGTTTTGATTTTAAACTAATAGCTTAATTTTTTTTGTCTCTATAGTTGATGTACAGGTGGTTATATACTGTATTGTCCTTTCCTGCTCCTCACTGGAGCAGTGAGGCTACTTCTTGTTTCCAGGGCACAGCACCCAATAAAATGAATTTGGGATCATGTGCATATTATTGCTGTAATGCTTTTGTTGTATTTATTATTTTTATAATAAAAAGGAAGCAGTGAATAGTGAAATTTAAGTTCTGTTTTTGCAGTAATACCGAAGTGCTTTATTTGTTATTTGTATATTTACCTAGCAAGATTTTGGTTTGTGAATTAATTTTGCGAATGTTTTTCATCTTGGTTTCCAAAATGATTTTTTTTTTCATTCTATAGATTTCATTTACAAATATGGTTTCAGTAGATGAGAGACTTATATACAAACCACATCCTCAGGACCCAGAAAAGTGAGTAAAAAATGTTTTGACAAACTTCTTTTACAGGGTGTTTTAATTTTTTTTATCAGATATTTCTTTTAAAAAATGAAAGGTCATTCTGAAGCTGTGTGAATGTGTTCTGTTCCAGAACTGTTCTGACTCAAGAAGCCATAATCACTGTGAAAGGAGTCAGTCTCAGCAGTTACCTTGAAGGACTAATGGCGAGTACGATATCTTCCAATGCTAATAAAGTAAGTCAGGCTGCTCCCTAATCGTTATTCCTGGGTTTCCTGTCTTGAAAGAGCTTAGTACTGAACGTGTGTTTGTCCTGGCAAACTGACTCTCAACGGCAATGCAGTGAGAATCCATATAGGCAATTTCTTGCACAGGCTCTGGCGTCTGGCACCCCGGGATTTATGTGCAAGCCATAAGTCTTACCAGCCTTTCAACCTTGGACAATTAAGTTAACCTTTCTGTGCCTCAGTTTCCCATCTGTGAAGTAGAGATCAGTTGGCCATCTTACTGGTTGGGCATGAAGAGTAAATGAGATAACATATGGAAAGCATGTGCCCAGGGCCCAGCATGTGGGAAGTGCTTGGTGATAATGTCACTGTGTGCCATTGTTTAAAACACCAATTCTCAACCTTTTTCATTATCCTCTCTGCCCCGTAACCCCCAGGTTTGTTTTAGACATCTTTTTTCTCTTAACAGCCACCACCACATGAAAGTATTTAACACCATGGATGGATGGATGAAAGGATAAATGTGCTATGTACATAGAAAGAGTGAGATATTCCCACCTCTCCCCACCCCCAACTAATTTTTGCCCCTTGGAGAACGCATGATTTAAAACAATTTAAGTTTAAAGAAAGAGATACTTAATGCACTTCATTATAACACGTTTAATATAATCATTCAGCGGTCCAAAGATCTTACAGATGCCTTCTCTGTACCAGAGGAAGTGCTAGGCTAGACTAGGAATACAGTAGGGAACAAAACAAGCATGGTCCCTGCCCTCGTGGAACTAAGAGGAAGGCAACATTAATCACGTCATTGGGAAAGGAAAAGCACACAGAGATAAAAGTATTTCATGAGTGTTCTGTTGCGTGCTGAATGAGGGGCGCGTTGGTTGTTAGGGGTATGCTGGGAAGCCTCTCCAGCAGAGGGGCTGTATGTGCAAAGGCCCTGAGAGAGGAAGCAGGAAATGCTTCTCATTTCCTCAAGGACCTGCATTAGGCACCAGGAGAGAACAGTTGAAGAGGAAGTTGGGGACCAGATCTTCTAGGGCCTCATACAGGATTTTGGTTTAAAATAACGGACCAAGGGCGCCTGGGTGGCTCAGTTGGTTAAGCGACTGCCTTCGGCTCAGGTCATGATCCTGGAGTCCCGGGATCGAGTCCCGCATCGGGCTCCCTGCTCAGCAGGGAGTCTACTTCTCCCTCTGACCCAACCCCCTCTCATGCTCGCGCTCTCTCTCTCATTCTCTCTCTCAAATAAATAAATAAAATCTTTAAAAAAATAAAAGTAAAATAAAATAACGGACCAAAAAAAAAAAACTGGGTTTGACCTTTTGATCCCCCAAGAAGGGACCACTCTAATCAGAAATAAGGAAACGATCATAATCATTGAATTGTAGATTCTTTTGATAACATCTTTTGCATGCAAAATAAAAATGAGTTTATAGATCAATTTCCAGTTGGCCAAGGCATTTGATATTTGGTACGTAACATTAAAGAAAAACAAGCACAAAAACAATCCATTCTGGTGAGGTTTGGTTATACTTGTAGAAGCTCCTGGTTACTTCCTGATGTGCCATTTATTGGATACGTGCCTTTGCTCTCACTTGGTAACAATAGATGTGTTGGATTTTTTTAAGGGCCGAGAAGCAATGGAATGGGTAATACATAAATTAAATGCTGAGATTGAAGAATTGGCGGCTTCGGCGAGAGGGAGCAGAAGGACACCGATGGCGGCGGCGGCATTTGTAGAGAAATGAGGATGAAAGTCAGTACCCAACAACCGCCCCTCAGGTCTCTGCAAACTGGCAATATATTTATTTGTTATTTAAAAAATAAAACTATATTTTAGGTAGAGTTTTTTTTTTAATAAGCTGAAGAAAAGCTGTAGGACTTATGATCAAAACAAAGAGGGTGCACGGTTTCTAAATAAAAGGGATCATCTGAAAGTAGTATTGTTTGAAATGACCATCTGATTTTGAGGATTCCAGTATTTATGTGAAAATTTAACAATTTTTGAAAAGTACTTGGAAAATCATATTAGCATATTAAAATCTCCTTTAAGGTAGAATTGTAAAGCTTTTCATGCATTGGAACTCTACCTGGCTTTGGACCAACCCCAGAACAAAGCAGAGCCACCTAAATACATAGAATTACCCTGCTGTGTATGGTAAACTGCAAGAACTTGCACGAGGGAATGCTCTTTAAAAGGAGAAATTATAGTTTGAAAAGACATATTAATTTGTATAAAATAACTTGTTCTGCTATAAACCACTGTTAAAAACCAGTGTTTTGGTATTTAAATGACATTTTTGGAATGAAAATTATCACTAAAATAACTCCAACAAACAAAAAAGGATTTTAATGTATTAAAGAGTACTGTATTAATTTGCCAAAGTTTTGTAACTTAGGAAAGGTATTACCTTCCTTGGATTTGTACTTTATGACTTAGTGTGCTATACCGTGGGCTGGTGATGTTCACTGAAAAAATAAAGTCATTACCGGAATTTTGCAGCACTCTAAACTTAAACAGAAGAACAGCTGTTCACATCTTTTAGCATTTCACATTTGCCTAACTTATAAATTGCCATGTGTCAAAATCATGGCTCTGTAATTGCTAAAGCATGATATGTCAGGTTATTTGAATATAATTACTTTTTGAAGTAATTGTGACCACAAAACATCTTTTTTACATGAAGAGCTGTACGTCATTTGAAATTACTCAAACGATGTCTTTCTGAAGCATAAATCCCAGGTACTTAGTGTTTTTAATAATACGGTGCAACTGCAGGGGGTGGGGGCGGTGGGGAAGGAAAAAAGAATAATAGAAAAGAAGCATTGACCTAAACCAACCACTATGTGAATTTTTTTTGCAGCTTTTGTGGGAAATCAGTTATTTTGGATGCTAAGGGGCAGCTGCAATCTGAAAAACAATCCAGCAAATGTATTTCATGTTTTGTAGCAGGCAGTTACCGACCAGTAAATAATATCTTTGATACTTGCAGTTGTTGCATACAGAGTATTTTTGTTAAAAGGTGATTAGCTCTTGCCTTTATCTTACAGTGCTAATGTAGTAAACTCATCAGGTTTCCTGTAAAAGAAACCAATTAGTATATGTACATAAACTACAGAAATAGTATAGCAGACTATTTAAAAATTAGTGTTTGTCTACTTAAAATGTTGTTTAGCTTAAGACTTCTTAGGACATTTGTAAAAGCAACTTAAATCCAATTAGGTTTTTGATTATTTTTTTGTAATCGGAGATGGTTTTTACAAATGAAATAACATTTCAGTTAAAACATAGCAAAATATTGATCTTTGATAAAAAGTTGCCTTGTATAATTTCTGTAAATTATACCCGTTCTGAAAAAGGTGTAATGCCCTAATGATAAAAATATTTCTAAACAAATTTTTATCTTGTTTGATTTTTTTTTTCTAATATGATGATAAAATTCTAGAAATTTTCATTTTCCAGTGAAGTAGCTGGTAGTTTGTGGCTTTTACCTATTGAAATCTCCGTAGACGGCAAGTAGATGTATTTGGGGGACTGAACTGGGACAGTGTTCACAGGTTCCCCTCGGACTGCGGGGCGTCTTACCCTATCTAGCATTAAAGATGCAAGTTAGGGTTCTAGTTTCTGAAAACTTCCTTGCAACGATGTGTTTCCTGCTCTCAGTTTCTGTTTAGTCACTGCTCCGTGTGCACACACGTGTGCTCCTGCGCCCCCCGCCCCTGCCCGCAGCGCCCCTGCCCGGCGGTCCAGCCCAGGGCGTCGCACGTCGCGGGTGGCCCCGGAGGCCCGCGCGCTGTCTGGGCCGAGTTCGCTTTTGCCCACTGCCCCTCGGGGGAGGGGTCGAAGTGCTCCACGCCGACGCCGGGGCACCTCCGTGCCCCTGGGCTGCGGGCGGGCCCCTGGCCCCGCGCGGCCCCCTGGCCCCGCGCGGCCCCCAGCTGCCCTCTCGCCCCCGCCGCCCCGCCGGGGGTACTACGGAAGCCCGCGGGGCACAAGCTCGGGGCGCCCGCGGAGCCAATCGGTGGGCGCGGCCGGCCGGCCCGCCCGGGGATTGGCACCCGGGGCCCCGGCCGCCCGCCCCCATTGGCTCCCGGCGTCGGGGGGATTCAGCGGCGGGGCAGCAGGGGCTGCTCGGGATGGGCGGGCGGGGCAAGAGGCGGCGAGATTGGCAGGTCCGGAGTCCCGCCTCTTCCGGTTCCCAGGCCTGACCTTCCTGCCGCTGGGCCGTGCGCCGAGCCGACATTGAGGCGTCCTCGCGATTCGACTCGACGCGCCCGCTCTCGCGACATCATGGTGGCATACTGGCGACAGGCTGGACTCAGGTATACCCGCGCCTCGGGGGTGCGGGGAGCCAGCGGCGCGGCCCGGGGTCGGCGGTCACGCGGCGCGCGGCGGGGGTCGGGGCCGGGGGAGCGCGGCCCCAAGATGGCGGCGCACGTCCGGGGGGGCGGGGGCGCCTCGAGAGCGCGCCGCCTGGGCGGCTGGGCCCCCCCCCCCCCCTGCGGAGTGTGCCCGGGCCCCCGCCGCGCTGCGTGTAAGGTCTTCGTTCTCCTCCCCCACCCAAGGGGCGCCAGAGGCCCGGGACTGGGCCCTGGATGTGTGACCCCGGCCCGCACCCCAAGCCTTCGTGTCCAGCACACACGTGTTTTTATTGCACACCGACTCCCATCGCTGTCGGGCCGCCTTCCCGGTAAAAGGGGAGGAGGCCCGCGGTACACGGCACAGAGGGCGGGTGGGGAGCGGCTCGGGAAGCTCACGTGTGGAACCCGTCTGAAGACACAACCGCCAGTGACGGGGGAGCCGTGGGCGCCGCCCTCACACCCCTCACACCTGGTGGCTTCGTGCACCCACCGGGCCATGCGCCTTCGCGCGGGGGGCATCCCTTGTGACTTGACTAGTCTCGCTGCTCCTTGGGGGTGGGGGGGTGCACCTGATGGGACAGCTGAGCAGCCCAAGAGTTCCTGCCTTGTGAGGTCAAGCACAGTTTTGTCCCCTTGGAAGGTCGACGGTCCCAGTACCAGGAACCATTTCCTAAGCACCTATTCTGTGATAGGTGTGGTGGCCTCTGCTTTGTCACTCCTCCCTACCATCAGTGGGGCAGGCATCATTATCCTTCTATTTTATTCTCTTGTTTCTACAGGTGGATAAAGTAGCGGAAAAGCTTGAGCAGCCTTGAAGGTCAACCCAATTAGTCAGCACCCGAGGAGGCATTGGAACGCCTGCCTCTGGCCCAAAAAAACAAATCTGAAACATGAGAAAATAGACAGCAGCACTCCCCCTCCCCTTCCTGTTTTCAAAAAGTGTAAAAAGTGAGCTGACATTTTTTGGAAAATAAGATGTTGATGGGAGTCCATCTACCAAACAGGAAGCAGGCTGTTAGATATTTTGTTAGAATTAAGGATGTTCTGTAAGACGTTCTGGTTTCATTTAGAAACCTTGATTGGGAAGCATCTTCAGTGGCAGACTTGGGAAACAAAATCCAATATTCTCAAGGAAACCTTTAAATAGGAAGAATTGTTGAATTCAAAATAGTTTTTTCTCTTTTAATTGTATATATCTTACCTTGTAAGAATAGTATAAGAAAAAATTTTAAGTAGAGAAATGGGGGGAAACATCACCTACAGCCTCTCATAACATTGTGGTCTGTTTCTTGTGCTGTGGGATTTTTAAAAAATCACTGAATCTTTTATTTTAAATTAGCATGTATTAAAGAGAGAAGGTGGTATAGAGAAAAAAAACCAAAGATTACCCATCCTAGCACCAGTTAAGACTTTGGTACATTTCCTTCTGGTCTTTTTCTCCGTGTAGATTGCTTCTGGCACTAGTCATTTTTAAATCCCGTTCCACAATAATGTACAATCAAACCAAAATTAAAACTATGGGAAGGAAAAAAACAAACAGTAACAAGGAGCAGTCTGGCTGGATCATTGATAATTAACTTTATATCATCTTCATTACCTCCCAGCTATATCCGATACTCCCAGATCTGTGCAAAAGCAGTGAGAGATGCACTGAAGACAGAGTTCAAAGCAAATGCTGAGAAGACTTCCGGCAGCACCGTAAAAATTGTGAAAGTGAAAAAGGAGTAATCTGTAAGTTACTGATTTGTTAGAAGGCTTGCATCTTAAGTTCTTAGAACACTTTCAAAACAAAGTAATTTTAGTTTTGAATTCTGTCCATATTTTTGGTCAGTCAGTACATTCAGATGTTAGTGGGTAGTAATTTAAAGCATACAGGTGATAGGAGTCCTGAGGCATCGTAAAAGAATTTCGTTTCGGGCCCTGACAAGCAGAAGTAATTGGCACATTGATTTTCAGCTCATTTAGCGGTGCTTAGGTAGAGAGCCGTCTTATTTTAATTAAACCTGTTTCATTTGTCTGCACAACATCAAATAATTTGAAGGATCAACTCCCCCCTTTTTGTAATTGCTGTTGGAGTTACATAACAGTTCAGGGGCATGACAAATTGCAGTTCTTTGCGTCTTCATTTCCCCCACATCTGCTAATGTTCTCACAAATGGCTGCTTCCTGAACATGAGGGCTACAAGCACAGGCAAGGGTCCTGCGATTTTATCAAGCGGGAACATCTGCAGGGCCCTGCGGGGACAGCTGTTACTCTGCTAGATTTAGGATTCTTTCCGAGGGCTTGGTTCGTTTCACTTCTCCAGAGATGTGAGCCATGTAGAGTTATATCCTGTGCAATAAAAGACAGTTTTGTACAGTTGATAAGTTCTGACTCTTTGCTCCCAACTACTAAAGCGATTTGATCTCTAAGCCTCTTTCTTGACATTGTTCTTTCAAAGATAAGCAAGGCAAATACCAGAGAGATGTTTTTCAGATTTAATTTTCTTGTTTTGCTTTAAAAAAGCGTCAGACCTGCAGTGGCAAGGAAATGTGATCAATATGAATCCTTTGGCAGCTTGTGGTTATGAGCAATTTTACTTATTGGAGCTGTCTCCCCTAAGCACTTTTCATTTCCATTTTGAATTAGTAAATATTTTATTGAGTCTGGAGATGGCAGTGTTTTGAATGTGGCCCTTTTTCTAGGGGCTCTCTGTCTCATCTCATAATTCTAAGTAATGAGACCTGGTTTTATGTTGGGTTGTTTTAACAATGAGCTAGCTGAGAAAATCACTGAGCCTCTGCCGCAGAGCCAAGCCAAACTCCACATCGAACTCCCTTGACCTTGTGATGTCCTTGGGGTCAGGAAGTAGTGTCCAGCTCCGGTAAACAAGACACACCTGCTCTCCGTATGTCCTGCTGGGGATGCTCCTGGCCTGGAGCACAGGGGGCTTTTAGTGTCTTTTTAAAGGCAGAGTAGTTTCTTTATAACCCAGAGAGTACTTAGTTCTACTTAGAAGGGAAGTTCCTGTTCGGCTAAGGCCATGCACGTGAACCAGCAGTTTTTACAGCCAAGAGCCAAGGGTCAGCATCAGCCATGTGAAGTGACGCCAAAGTTATATTACACAGTTCGTGACAAGGAAGTCATTGCCCATGTTCATGTTGGATTTTTAAGAAAACACGGAGGACTAGCAACTGTTGCATTTTCTTCTTTCCTCCTAGACCCCGACTAAAGCTTGAAATGCTACATTTTCCGAGGTGAAGATGTGTGGGTACATGTTATGGCAGATTGAAAACGATCTCCCTGCATGGAAAAAAATCCCTGTCTTGTTCTAGATTGACAATGCCAATAAATTGAAGTATGGTTCACTCTTGCTGTTGGTTCTTGTTTTCCTTTGGACTTCTTCTTCATAGGAGCTATCCACACCTGCAGGATTAGGACCTTAGGAACTGCAGTTTCTTGAGGTAGGGGGGAAACGGGTTTAATATCTAGCGAGCAGAGGGAAATAGAAAAGAGGTTTTAAATGTCTCAGGCTAGAAAGTTCTCTTTTTCATATCAATTGACAAAATTAGCCTCTTGTTGAGCCTCTCACTGTCCCTTATCTTTGAATTGCAGAAGTCACGGTCAAGTGGTGGATGGCTTACTACCCGCTGGCCTGGTTCTCCCACATAGCCGGCTTTTTGCCTAAATGACAGAAATTACTAAAAGCATAGATAAGGAAAAAAAAATACTAGATTGTGGTCTTCATTTTTTATTGTACACTTAAAACCTGTGGAGAAGAGCTAATACCGGGATTTCAGCAAGAAATGTGCTTGACATTGTTTTGTAAATGAATCTCTGTCCTGGGAGCACTCCCCATGGGAGATGGGGCGGAGCGGAGCGGAGCCGTTCAGTACCTTGCTCATGGAGCTGATGGCCGAGCTGCAGCTTAGTCTTTAAAAAGACTCTTTGCTTGCAGGTCTGGGGTGGGGGGAGGGCGCATGAGGATGGCAACTGCTCCACGGTGTTTGCACGCTGTCTCGCTTCTTCATTAAATGCTCTAAATGCTCGGGCGTGAAGACCTGTTGCAAGTGTTTTGTTTTTATCTTCCTTTGAAACTTAGAAGCACTCGCCTGAGTAAAACACCCACTGCAAAGTTAACTGCTTGATTTGAACTGTTTTGGAGAGCGGAGAAATAAATGTGAACAGGAAATTTTGAAACACAGTTCAGCTTCTGTGCCAGGACCAGTTCTCCCCATGATACTTAAGATAACAATAAGTTCTGGGGGCCACCGAGCAGTGCTGAGGAGGCGCCCAAGAGAATGCCTTTGTTCTCGGCCTTCTGCAGGCGATTTCCTGCCCCTGGACACTTGACCTGTGGGTTTTACTTAATTCTTGGTCCAGGACAGGCAAGGAGGAGCTCCTGGATGGAGTATGAGAGCCCGGCCACTGGGCAGTAGCCACTTGAGGGCCCCGGGAACTCTTTGCCTGGGCCGGTCCGCTGTTCTAAAGTCGGGGCACCTCAGCTGTCAGCACCTCAGTCCCCAAGGTCAAGGTACTAGGAAGCATCTTTCATTCCAGGGATAGGAATCAATGAATCTCGAGGCTGTCAGGCCTTTTTCAGACGAACAAAGCCAATGGGCAAACGGCTGACTTCTTTGCAGCCAGGTAACTAGAGAGAAGGCATCAGTGAATGTGGGAGACAGGTTATAATTAAGGTGAGATTGGGGCCAGGGCTGGTGATAGGGAAAGGGGTAAAGCAACTGAATAAAAGACAAGTTTACTGTCTAGCAAAGATTCTTTGAGCCTCTTTCTCTGTGATTAAAAATCCTGAATGGATACTGGGATGAAGTAAACTTCCAGTACCAGGCCTGCTGGGCCCCTGGCAGGACTACTGTGTCTGGATGACCAGAGGACCCTGATCAGACCTGGCTGTGGGCGTTTCACTAACTAGTTGAGTGGTTTTTGAGGGAGTCGTTAATCTCTGCTCCTGCGGGGTTCTTGTGTGAAGGGAAGGAACGGACAAGTTCTGAGATTCTGATCCCATCTCTCTATCTCTGAGACCAGTGTCACCATGGCAACCATACCGCTAAAGGAATAGGCTCAAAATCCGAGGGGATAGATTTCTTTCAGTTTCTAGTGGGTTTTTTTGTTTGTTTGTGCGTGCGTGTGTGTGTGTGTTTCTACCATACAAAAGAGTAGGGTGGTGAAATACATTTTGAAATATTTTTAACTACTCAATCAGTCTGGGCGGTTAGGCTCCAAGAAAAGGAATTTATTTAGTCTGAAATAAAGCAATTTAGCCATTTAAAATTGAATTTCCTTGTACTTTAATGATTACTATTGAGCAAACAAAAATCTTGACAGTAATATAAATCAGCAGGTTTTTTAATTTAGATCTGTAGCCTTCCTTGTATCTATAATAGATTGCCTTTTTAGATTTGAGAAGGAAAAGTGCTAGAGGAAGCGCATCTAAATTCTTGTAACATCAAAGGTCATAAGTCCTTTTAGCTTCTGAGAAGTTCTGAACTTCAGAGTATACAGGTACATTTTCTTAATAAATCTGCTTTTGTTTTTAATGCTTGAGCCACAAGTAGGAAGTGTTTCAAACTTTTCTTAAGTGTTGTAAATAGAAGGCTTGTCACGATGCCGACAGCAGGACATCGTTTGCGCAGGTATTTTCGTTACTTCTCACGGCGTGCACGTGAAGGAGTGACGTTTCCCAGAATGAGCAGGCAGTGTCGTCCATCCACCTGCTACCTTACTGCAGATGACAAATGCAGATCCGAGAACCTAGTTGCCTGCAAGTAAATATTTCCTGCAGGGAGGGTCGGAGCCTCTTCCCATTGCCGGCTACTCATGGATCAAATAGAAGAGCTCAGTGGTAATTCTAGAAGGCCATTAAGACCCTTACGGCCCTGGAAGGGATGGCCATGCAGTATGTCAGAAATAGGTAAACTGTAATTAAAAAGTTACGGATGATTTGATTACACTCCTGTGTATTTGGTCCTGTTGTAATGTGAGCAGATTAAACTCGGGTAATGGTCAAAGCTGTGTCATCATGCAAACATTTATGGCAACTTCGGCAAATTAATTTGAACTGTAAAAGTTCCCTAATGAGACGACGTCCTCCACGAGGAAGAAGGACACGGCGGCGGTGGCAGTGGCGGCTGCCGAATTCCTGCATTTGAATGGGTGCCCAGCGTGCCCAGCGCACCGGGTGCCCTTTCTGAAAGAGCAGAGGCTACCGAGTGCTTTCAGAAGGTGTTTACTGAATGAAAGTGAAAAGGGCATTTTGAAACAGCCTTTACCAGGAAAACCAAAGATGGTGATTAATGAATTCCCAGAATCCAACACCCCTAAGAAACTTAAAGAGTATCTAAACATCTATGTTAAAAGGTAGCTATTCAGAAGTAAAGATCAGAGGATTGGGGTTGGTGACTTTTGCCTGTCGTTTGAGGGGTTTTTTTTGGCCAGGTATTTTGGTAAAAAGCACTGCCACTTTTTTGTTGTTGTTGTCCTCCCTTTTTTCCCTTTCCAGTTAGTACACGGACGTGCACTCAAGGTCTACACGATTCACTAGTGGATGCTGACTCACACTTGCTTCGGCTGCACAGCTCCCCACGTACCAATTAGTCACCTGGCTTTTCGGGAGGCCAGTGAGCACCAGGAGTTAGGATGCTGGGCAGCGCACATGACAGAAGCTGGGGTATGACTCTTAGCAGGGGTGCCAAGCAAGGGTTCCAGGGTGCTCATCGGTGCTGCGAAAGGGTGGAGGTGGACGTCAGCCGCGGTAGCCATGCACGCGGGTAGTCTTGAGGGTAGTCTTGATGCCTGGCACAGCGCCGTGCCTGCAGTAACCACCTGATCAACATTTCTAAACAAAGGTGGTGTGCTTCACGATAAATTCACTTTGCCATTAAAACCCGGTTAACAGAGTGTGCAGTGAATAGCAAAGTCTTGAAAGCTAGTGAAAGCCAGCGGAAGGCCCCAGCGCCCCCAGCTCCCGCCCAGGCCCCTGTCCCCGCGGCCGTGCATGCGTGCGGACACCGGGTGGCAGCAGCGCGTCCCGTGGGCGGTCGGCGGGACGGCAGGGAGGCGGGAGGGGGGTCTGCGGCCGACCTCACATGGCCCCGCGAGCTTCGTGTGGCCCATCTTCCGGTTCCATTTCTGCCTCCCCCACGACCTCTCCGTCCTCCTGAACCGCTCTGGCGTCTTGCAGTTGCTGGTACTCGGACACCAAATCGCGGATGTTGCTCTCGGCCTCTGCAAACTCGCCGACGTCCATGCCTTCGCTGGTATACCAGTGCACGAACGCCCTCCTCCGGAACATGGCCGAGAAGTGCTCCGCCACGCGGCCGAACAGCTCCTGCACGGCCGTGCTGTTGCCAATGAAGGTGGCGGCCATGCTCAGCCCCGGGGGCGGGATGTCGCAGACGGCCACCTTGACGTTGTTGGGGATCCACTCCACGAAGCAGCCGCTGTGCCGGGTCTGCACGCCGAGCATCTGCTCGTCCACCTCCTTGGTGGACATGCGGCCCCGGAAGATGCAGGCCACGGTCAGGTAGCGGCCGCGGCGCGGGTCGCAGGCGGCCATGGCGTTGCGCGCGTCGAACACCTGCTGCGTGAGCTCGGCCACGGTGAGCGCGCGGTACTGCCGGCCGTCGCGGCTGGTGAGCGGCGCGAAGCCGGGCGTGAAGAAGTGCAGGCGCGGGAAGGGCACCATGTTCACGGCCAGCTTGCGCAGGTCGGCATTGAGCTGGCCCGGGAAGCGCAAGGACGTGGTAATGCCGCTCATGGTCAGGGACACCAGGTGGTTGAGGTCGCGGTAGCTGGGCGCGGCCAGCTTGAGCGTGCGGAGGCAGATGTCGTAGAGCGCCTCGTTGTCGATGCAGAAGCAGGCGTCGGCGTGCTGCGCCAACTGCTGCAGGGACAGCACGGCGTTGTAGGGCTCCACCACCGTGTCGGACACCTTGGGCGAGGGCAGGACGCTGAACGCGTTCAGGATGCGGTCGGGGAAGTCCTCGCGGATCCGGCTCAGCAGCAGCGTGCCCATGCCCGCGCCCGTGCCGCCGCCCAGCGAGTGCACCAGCTGGAAGCCTTGCAGGCAGTCGCAGGCCTCGCTGGCGCTGCGCACGGCGTCCAGCACGCTCTCGGCCAGCTCGGCGCCCTCCGTGTAGTGGCCCTTGGCCCAGTTGTTGCCGGCCCCGGAGTTACCTGTGCAGAGGGAGGCGGGTTACGGGGCTGTCTGGGTGGCGGCGGGAGACAGGGCACCACTAGGAGGCACCCTCACCTCGTCCCCCCGGGGTGGGGGGGGCGGGTGGACATCCCTGCAGGAAAACGTACCGTAGATGAAGCTGTCCGGATGAAAGAGAGCTCCCAATTTGCTGGATCGGATGCTATCCATCGTCCCAGGCTCCAGGTCCACCAGCAGCGCCCGGGGCACGTATTTCTTACCTGTGTAGAAAAATAGGAAGAAGTCAGCAAACTTCTGTTTTTCTAAAAGTTAATGTTTCATCAAAATAGAACCTTGTGATACCCACCAGGAAAAAGGTATTTCTAGAAGAAAGACATTTGAAGTAATATTCTTGACCCCAACAAGTGCATAAATCTATAAAATACCTTCGAAATCCTTTTTCCATCATTTTCTGTGTTGTTTTGTTGTCTCGTCAATGACAGAGATCCTGCCCTACTGGAAGTGATTCTGGTTTTCATTTAAGAACTAAACAGGAAAGGTGGTGCTTGAGCAGCAGTGGTAAACACAACGTGCCCCCACTCAGTGATTTCTTCCCCGGGCCCTTGCCCTAGACGGAACTTGGGGACCCGCCAGTCTCGGGATCCCACTGCACTGCCTGGACATCACCCTGACCTCGTGAGCATCGCGACCAGAGCACAGCGTCCTACCGTGGGCCTCGTTGTAGTACACGCTGATCCTCTCCAGCTGCAAGGCACAGTCCCCACAGTAGCCCCCGGCCGAGTCGATCCCATGCTCCTCGCCAATCACCTCCCAGAACTGAAAGCAGCAGGAGGGGAGGTCAGTGTACAGAGGGACCCCAGAAAAGGGCAGGTGGGTACCCGTGAGCCAGCAGATTGACCAGAGGGACAGGAGGAAGGGAGTGCTGCTGGGCCTGCCCGGAGGGGTCGGTCTGGCCGCCCCTTTCCCGGACGTGCCTTTAGGCCCATTTTGTCAGTGCCGGCTGCACGGCACTGTAATTTGCTCTTGCCTCCGCTACACACGAATATGAAGACTGTGTTTTATGCCCACCTGAACGCCTTAAATAAAATGCCAACACATAAAATATTGAATTGGATTTTGCTCCTATTAAATGGAGGCCACGGTATACATTAAAGCTGTCGTTTTACAATTCACATCAGCCCGGGTATCTCTAATTTCACCTTCTAGTGCTTCAAGCTAGTAAAGTATAGGTATACCATTAAATGAAAATAGACTGAATTCTTATCTGATTTCACATGGGTATTTATTTTCATGCAGTTTTCCAAAAAGCCCATAACTAGGACATCCAGGCCCAGCTTTTAACCATGTGCATTTTTCACGATCAGGTATGCACACAATTCAAGATTATGCACAGCTCTTGTAACTATTTGAAACATAGGACACTTTCAATCTCACATACAGTATTTATTAATATAGCTGTGTGTCTTAATATGGAAACAGTTACTGAGATGGCCCCTCTCATTGCCCTAGAGAAGGACATATTCAAGTGCAATGAAAATATATTCATTTATGTTAAAATCCCCAAGGGTGTTTTCCCAGCCGTATCTTATAAGTGACGGCTCTGCTCTGGCCATGGTCTCATTAACCAGACTCTATTTTATAGTAAATTACCAGCACTGTTCAGGGTCTGAAAGAATAAATAAATTTAAGTTCTATAACACCACAAACTAAATGTCTTTTACAGTTCTTTTGGCCCCAAATAATAAGTAGTCGCCGGGGCTCTAAGCGCCAGACAACACGATGCTGGAGGAAGAGCTAAGAACCTATCTAGACCCTGCACTTCCTCTGCCGCGCCTCCCTTCAGATTATCTTCCCACTTCAGAGTGCTGGGGCTGGCGCTTCCCACTTCTCTGTGTGTTCGACTTAGGAACATCTCATCACCGTGGACGGAAAGGTGGCAACTTCTTTTCAAGGAGTGATATTCTTTGCCCCAGGTTTTAAACACCTGCATTAAAAGACTAGATTTTCATAGCTGCATTATTCACAATAGCTAAAAGTTGGAAACAACCTATGTGTCCACTGACAGATGAGGGGATAAACAAAGTGTGGGGTATCCATGCAATGGACTATTACTTAGCTATAAAAAGGAAGGAGATTCGGACATAGGCTGCAACGTGGTTGAGCCTTGAGGACATAATGCTCAGTGACATAAGCCAGACACAGAAGGGCAGATACTGTGTGATGTCACTTCTATGAGGTCCCTAGAAGAGTTCAGATTTGGGGGTCCCTGGGTGGCTGAGTTGGTTGAGCATTTGACTCTTGATTTCAGCTCAGGTCATGTTCTTGGGGTCAGGAGATCAAGCCCTGCGTTGGGCTCTGTGCTGGGCATGGCGCCTGCTGGAGATTCTCTCTCCCTCTCCCTCTGCCTTCCCCCGCCCCATCTCCCACTCACACTTTCTAAATAAATAACTAACTATAACTTTTTTTTAAAAAGAGTTCAAATTCTTGGGCGCCTGGGTGGCTCAATTGGTTAAGCAACTGCCTTCGGCTCAGGTCATGATCCTGGAGTCCCGGGATCGGGTCCCGCGTCGGGCTCCCTGCTCAGCAGGGAGTCTGCTTCTCCCTCTGACCCTCTTCCCTCTCGTGCTCTCTATCTCTCATTCTCTCTCTCTCTCTCAAATAAATAAATAAAATCTTTAAAAAGAATAAAAATAAAAAGAGTTCAAATTCTTGGATAGTAGAAGGGTGGGTGCCAGGGTCTGGGGGAGGGGAGTTAGTATTTAATGAAGACAGAGTTTTTAGTTTTGCAAAAGGAAAAGCATTTTGGGAGATTGAATGCACAACACTGTGAATATACTTAACAGTATTGAACTGCACACTTAAAAATGATGGCTGGAGATGGTAAATTTTACACCGTGTTTTACCACAAGTTTTTAAAATTTAACTTTTAATGCCATTAAAAATTTTTACAGCTTTATTTATTTATTTGTATTTACTTATTTTAGAGAGAGAGTGGGGGGAGGGGCAGGGGAGAGAATCTTTCAAGCAGATTCCCTGCTGAGTGCGGAGCCCAGACGGGGCTCCATCCCATGACCCATGAGATCATGACCTGAGCCAAAACCAAGAGTCAGATGCTAACCGACTGAGCCATCCAGGTGCCCCAATGCAATTAAATTTTTAATGCCATTCATACTAGTGAAAGTAATTTCAAAATGGCAAAGGGAACCATCAGATGGCTGTTCGTACAAGTGTGTAAAACTAGGGTTGAAATTCGGGTTGGAGACCTGTTGGACTGTGTCATCTCTTAGAGTTGGCCACTGAACCAGGCACTGTGTACAAAAAATTTAGGTGGGGAGGGGACACACTCATGTATACTCCAGAGAGTGTATTTTAATTATTTCTGCTACTACACCCAAAAACGTTTAGGTTTACCTCCTTCGTCTCCTATTGCTTACTAAATGGAACAGATGTGGATCTTTTTAAACTTTGCAGCACAAACAAGGGAGGGGATGGAAAGGCATCTTAGTGATATCATGTAAAAAGTTGCCCAACAAACTTTAGGAAACTGTTTTGAGACAAAGTACTGTCTTTAGATAGGAAAGTTCATTGCTAAAGTCATGAAAGTAAACAAGGTTCCCTGTAAGAGGCGGTGAAATTAGCATGAATTCAGTTAACCCTTTCATCCTGTCCCACCTCCTGTATCTCTCTTTCACTATGGGCATCAGTTAATGAAGCCAAGTATTCAGCAAGTGCATGCGAACTGCTGGACTTATTACCTTCCCTGCCGACTGAGGATATTTTCTTAGTTGGCTACACCCAGTGACCATAGGAAAGCTAGTCCTAGTAATCGAACTCTCCTTACCTTGGCTCCGATCTGGTTCCCGCACTGGCCGATCTGAAGATGTACGATTTCACGCATCCTTGCTTGGCGTCCAAGTGTAAGGTTGGATTCACAGAATCCTCAGTCTCTGGGAAAGCCGCCCGTCTTCACTGGTGGGAGCCCAACACGACTCTGGTCACTGCACTGATGGGACCAGCTGACCAAGCTGGTCCCAGGGTGTGTCTACTGCCCAGAGGCCCAGCCTCTACTCTCTTCTGCTCTCTGCCTGTCATCCTGGTGAAGGGGGTGTTTCTTCCTCTCCCAAAACAGAATATTGCCCAGTCACTTCCTAGAGTTCAAGACCAAAGCCTGCCTTTGTGCACAGTGCCTGGAGGTCTCGCACCAGGTGTGGGCCTGACCGTGGTGGACTCTGGACACCCGGGTGATAGGGCTCATGATATGACATCCAAACCACAGCTCCCAGCTCATGGGGTGAGGGGACCACCTCCAGAGAGCTCTCCCTGACCAAGCCAGTTGTGTTATTAGGAATCCTTTGTCTAAACCCATCGCTTGACAGATGAGGCCATGATATCCCAGCGCATGAAGTGACTTCACCATAGTCACACAGCCAGTGAGACGTCCCTACCTTGCTTTAGACCTGGCCATGTGTCCCGCGTCTTCAGCTACGTTTCCTAAGGAGTGCTCCGACAGCCACTGACAGTGCTGACGTGTCCTTTGGGGGAACAAGTGTGGACAGTTTTTATTTTTACAGTGTCTACTTTAATGTAAATAGGAAAAAAAATAATTAGCATTTACAATAGTAAAATGATAATGAGAGAAAGTTTCCTTTGAACTTGGCCGAAGTTGTAAAGGCAACTTGTGATTCTTCCGCATTTGGGAAAGCACTATCAAGTGACACGATCTCAACTCCATGGCTCGCCATCAAGGCCCTTCCCAGCATGGCCCCACACTTCCCCTCCAGCCCTTTCCCCGGACTTTGGTCCTCAGAAAGCCTGTGCTTCGCGTCAGCGTGGCTCTCCCCCTGCTCTGCGTGTCAATTCCTGCTCTTCCAGAAACTGCAGAGCGGCTGCCCAGGCCAGGACCTACCCCCCCCCCCCGAAGCCCCGAGGAGCAGGCAGCCACCCCCGCTGGGCACCTGCTTCTCCGGGCCTCTCTCCAGTATTTGCCAAGCTCCCGGGGGCCCCCGTTGTCGGAACAGCTACAGACAGAGACCTGCCGTGGGCCAGGCACACATTGGCAGCCAGGGATATGGAAACGAAGGACACCCATGCAGACACGGGCCCCCAGGATGTGGACTCAAAGGCAGGACTGAAGGCACACAGACCCAGAGTCCCCGGGCACTCCCTCCCCTGCCTCTGACTGGACAGGTGACCGCGGCTGTGGGGTCTGCCCTGCCTATCGTCACCCTGACCGGCAGGCCGCTCCTAAACCCTCTGCACTTTCCACAGGCCTGGCGAGGCCCAAGACGGGAGGTCAGTGATCCAGACCGGCAAGTCACTAACTGCTCTGTAGTGGCCTTTTTGCTGGTAAATAGCCTCTGCTTCTCCCAAAGGAGTTCAGCCCCGAAGTAAAAGGAGCTGGAGTGTTCCCTGCAGGAGAACACTGACGTGGGGAAGCAGGACTTTGTCCTGTGGGTGCCAGCCCAGGGCTGCCCCTGTCTTCCACTGTCCAGTGACCTCACGGGCCACGTGCCGAGGGAGAGCTCCGTGCGACCCTGGGTCGGGGACCCGACCAGGGCAGAAGGTACTGTAAGGGACACTACCGGGACACCTACAAAATCTGAATACAGACCGTGTGGATTGAATAATCACGTTGTATCCACGTTGTATTTCCTGAATTTGATCATGGCCGGGTTATACAAATGGAAATTCTTGTTTTCAGGAGATAGTATGAAATATTCAGGGTCAAGAGTCACCTTGCCGGCAGCTTGCCTGCAAACAGTTGGGCAAGAACAGTAACAATGTGATAAATGTCGAGAGACGGGTTAAGCAAATGTGGCAAAATGTTAACAATTGGAGAATCTTTGTAAACGAGTACAAGATTAATACTCTTGCAACATCTCTGAGTTTGGAATGTTTTCCTACTCCAATCTGAATGACCACATGATTACAGCTGCCTCTGGTCCAAAGCCTGCCACCCCCCACGGTAAAGAGAAGAAAGTGTAAATTCCAGAGGAAGAAATGTGCATGTACTTAGCAGTATTTTGTTCACAAGTTAAAAAAATATATACGCAGAATAAACCTTTCAGCTTCCATGACATTCAGCCCCGCCCCCCGCCCGGCGCCTACCTTCACCCCTTTGCTCTTCCCTCTGGCCCCTCACCTGCCCTCCCCAGCCTCCCCCTGCTCATCAGACCGCAGAATTCCAGGGCAGCCCCTCTGCTGCGCCCCTCCCCCTACCTCACCCCCCAGCCCCCGGTCTCCCACCGCAGCATCCTGGCTGGAAGCTCCCGGCAGGCGCCAGAACGCGGGCTTACGGCCCTCACCTGCGTCTGTGTTTGCTAATCACTTATCCTCACGCCGTATCTCCTCACCAGCCTGGGAGCTGCCCGTGTCCTTTCACCTTTGCGTCCCCAAAGTGCCTGATACAGAAGAGGGCCTCAGCAAATGTTTGTGGAGTGCACACCAACAGCTGGGCTGCTTACTCAGAATGGCAAGTTTTCTTCAAGCCAAGAACGTATTTATTCATGAGTATGTCCTGATGGGCGAGGTAGGGGCATGGGGCCTGAGGACTTTCTTCTCTGGCCCCTAAGAGGTGGTCTAGGCTGAAAGTAGAGACTGTTCCAGGAAAGCTGGATGTCAGGAACGGGTTGTAGATGCAGCGACCGCACGAGCTATTACGGGAAGCTGTTGGCTGGCCGGGCTGCTGAAAGGGGCCCGTGTTGGCCGCCGCGGGGACCACTGGGCTGGGCCGGAGGGGCATTTTTGATCTTCCTGTGTTCATTCTTTGCTGTATGAGCAGGATCCAGTGTGCCGGGGTCCCCCCCGCCAAATCTCCACCCTGGAGCACATTCCTCTTGGTCATCTCAGTTTGCTCAGGGAGGGAAAAGCCCAGGTTTCCAGATGGGCGCTTAAAAGGTTTTTCTGTTAATGGGGCAGTTGGCAAAAAAAAAAAAAAAAAAAAGGATTGGGGGTAGAAGAGGAGAGGAACCCTGTTTGCTTTGATTCCCGACTCTGCCGGCAATGTTGACTCAGTCTGGCCCGCTGTGCTGAGCTTTGGCCGCTGTGAGGGGCGGGGCAGATCGGGGCAGGGAGGCTTGGCGGCCCCAGCCGCTCAGGGAGGCCCACCTCCTCCTGAAACTTGAATTTTCCCAGCTGTAGAAGGGGATGATGGTCCTGGGTCCCAGGTTTGTGGGGAAGACAGGGCACACTGGGGGTTAACCCCCAACAGCCCCTCGCAGGCGGTGTTTTTCACGTGGGCTTCACAGGTTGGAAGCAGATGTGTGGACAGCGCCATTCATTCGATACCTAGGAACTGAGTGCCCGCTGCGTGCCAGGGCCCAGAGGGCTGTGCTCCGGGATCGGAACTGTGTGGACAGAGCAGAGGGGCAAGTTGTGGGTCCACACCGTCTCTGCTCTGTTGTCCACATTTACCAAGGGACCTGCTCCCCTGAGGAAGGAGCTCTCCTCTGACCGCCAACTTAGCACAAGCCAGGGGAGAGGTGAAGGTACGTGCCTTTCCCAGACCACGAGACATGGTCCCTTCCCAGGACGCAGGTAAACTGTCCCTTGAGAGAGACCGTTCCCCAGGGTCTGTTCTCCAGCCAGGCTGAAGGTGACCCCCAGCCCTGAACTGCAGCAAGGGATTAGAGGTGGCCGTCCATGATGAGTGATAAACTCCTTTTCTCACCACAAGGTAGGGCCGTGGTGAAGGCAGGTTGGAAATGAGGGCTCAGGGCAGAGCTTTAGTGAGCATCGCCCAAAAAGGCAGAGGGCAGGAGCGAGAGCTTCCCTGAGCGGGCGTGATGCCTCACGACAAGTACACCAGGATGAGGAAGGAGGACGACCAGGCTTGCCCTTCGCTGAAACGCCCTCTCTCCCCTGGTGGGCCATGGCCGTCCATCCACGAGAAGACTCGGTGGTAGCGAGCCTTTTCCTGCATGACACTTGGCTTTATTATGGGAACAGAACGAAGATGATAAGAAAAACTAAGTGTCACCCAGAAACCCCAAATCGGCTGCTTCCAGACTTCCCCCAGGAGATGCCCCTCAGTGGTCAGATGGAGCTCCCCCCACCTCTGTGGGGCAAATGAAATATAATTAGGAGAAAAACAGCGTACTCAGAGATTTCATTGATTTCATCCGCCCCTGATCCTTCCACTTCTGAGTGCATTGAAGTTCCTTGAATAACTCAGAGAAGATTGTTGAATTATAGTGTTTGCTTGTGATTCAGAAGCAGAAATTTTTCCAAATGTCTTAGCAAGAAACTGACATCTGAGGGGCCATTATGAGTGAGTCAGCGAGTGTGGGCAGATCATCAGATGAACTGAGCTCTACTTTCTTGTACTCTGCCTCGCTGTTCTCTTACTGTACAGGAAAGTTCTGGGAGGATGAATAAGTAAGTACAGGAGAAAAGAACTAGGAAGATGTTGCTGGCTTTCACGAAGCAGGGCTGCCCGGCCCCACGGAGGAGGTCAGACCTCTGCCCCCACCGCTGCAACTCTCTGTCCTGCCCACACTACGTGGACCCGCTGGGCTGCCCTCCTCTCCTTTCCGGCCGCTGGGCCCAGATATTGTGAACGCTGTGCACCCCAGCGGGGCCACTGAGAGCCCCATCCCGGGCCGTGGCCTCTCTCATCTGCAGGAGGGAGCGCGCGCGCGCACGAGCTCGCGCACGCACCGCGGCCCCTGAACGGCTGTGATTCTCGCGGTGTATGGACACGTTAACCTTCTCCTCTGCATCTGTCCCATCTCGCAAGGTGTGCAGCCCCTGATAAGCAATGTGCTGTGGCAGGAACAGAGATAAGCAGGGTATGGTTCGGTACCCGGAGCTGAAATCAAACAAAGATAAATACTTCTTGAAGCCCGGTGTTTGTCCAAGAAACCTCTGTTGTAAAGTCTCAGAAATCCATTCGTTTACCCAACAAATATTGGCTGAGTACTATTTGGGGGCTCGAGGGACCTTGGAGAAGTGGGAGGCTTGGGGCCTGCACCCCGGGAACGCAGAGACAGGACAGCACCACCCCTTCCCGTTGGCCTTTGCCAAGTTCTCCGCTACCTCTCACACACCGCCCCCTCGGGCCAGCTCTTGAGCAAGGTAATGGACCTCTCCTTTGTGCAGTAGAATCCGAGGCTTGGGGAGGGAAACGACAAGCTCAAATCCCGGGATAACGTGGCAGAACCAGTCACAGGTCTTTAGACCCTGACATTGAGGGGTACGCTTGGAGGAGTCAAGAAGCAGGCTGGCCAGACAGCCTCCAGCTGGGCATCCCAGGCGCCCGGACGCTCAGCTCACCTTCCTCCTTGCCTCTGGTGTGTAAGTGGGCCGGTCCGCCCACCCCACCTCCCAGGTACGTGGCCCCACGTGTCCACTCTCCCGGCCTCTCTGGAAGCATCCCTGCCCCGTCACCACCAGCTCTCCCGTCTGTGACCCCGGGCGCCCCTACTGCACCCCACCCCCGGCCTCCTCCCATTTCACCCCCCTCACGGTCACCAGAGGGATCTCGTGAAACAAAAATCAGACCTCGTCCACTGCCTTCTGGGAAACTCACCACAACCAGGGTAAAACCAACCAACCCTCTCAGCCCTGTCGCCACGGCAGATGTGTTGTCGTTCAGATCTCTGATGGGAAGGCACCTGTCAGGGGCACACAGAGGGGGCGAAGGACAGCCAGGGGCCGGCCTACCCTGGGGAGGGAGGGAAGGAGAGGTGGACCAAAAGGGGCAGGAACTGTGCGAAGTATGGCCTGGATTGCAGAGCTCCAAGCTGTGGCCCCTGCAGCTGGGCGGTCTGGGAGGGGCCTTTAGGGTCCTGTTCGCTCTCGGGTGGCTTCACCCCTGCCTACCTCCCCGCCAGTCATCTCTGCTGCCATGCTCCCCACCGGCTGCTTCCAGCTGGTCATGCCTACCAATGTGTGTGTATTTCAAGGCCTTTGCATACATTCTTCCTTCTGTTTTAAAAGTTTCATGGCTATGTCCTCATCATTCAGTCGCAAGCCCTTGGATAGCTATAAGAACCATCCCCGATGCACCTGCTCCGCAATGTTTATAGCAGCAATGTCCACAATAGCCAAACTATGGAAAGAGCCCAGATGTCCATCAACAGATGAATGGATAAGGAAGCTGTGGTATATTCAGCCATCCAAAAATGAAATCTTGCCATTTGCAATGACATGGATGGAACCAGAAGGTATTACACTAAGCAAAATAAGTCAATCAGAGAAAGACAATTATCATATGATCTCACTGATATGTAGAATTTGAGAAACAAGACAGAGGATCATAGGGGAAGGGAGGGAAAAATGAAACAAGACGAAATCAGAGAGGGAGACAAACCATAAGAGACTCTTAATCTCAGGAAACAAACCAAGGGTTGCTGGAGTGGAGGGGTGTGGGAGGGACGGGGTGGCTGGGTGATGGACACTGGGCAGGGTATGTGCTATGGTGAGTGCTGTGAATTGTGTAAGAATGATGAATCACAGACCTGTACCCCTGAAACAAATAATACATTATATGTTAATAATAAAAAAAACTACCAGAATTAAAATAAAAATATGTATGAGTGTAAAAAAAGTAACAGGGAAACAGATGAAATTAATTTTAAACATGTTATATGTTATTTAACCCAGTAAGCCCCAAATATGATCTTAATATGTAATAAATTACGGTAAATCAATAATGAAATAATTATGTAAACAAACAAGCAAACAAACAAAAAGAACCGTCCCCAACCAAACTCCCCAGAGGGTGCCCTGTCTCTAGTATGCCCCGTGGGACTTATCACTGCTGCATCCCCAGGGCTGGGACAACGGTCTGGCACAAACTAGAGGCTCAACAAATACTTGCCAACAGCCTGACTAGAGAGAGCGAGTGGATTTGATCCCGTGAATGACCAAGACCCCTCTGGTCATGAGCCAGCTCCTGAGTGTCTGTATGTTACATGCCCAACTGTGACCAGTGTGTTCTGAAGGTGTTGCTGGGGGGTCAGCCCCACAAATGTGACCCCACGTTTCCTCCCAGGCAGACGTGTGCAGCCGGGAGAGGGTGTGGTGATGATGGCATTTGGGGACAGTGGCAGGATAGCCTGTGTGCGCACCTCTCTACTCCCCTGAAAGTCCTTGGCTGCAAAGGTGTGTGGGAAGTGACAGGAGCGTGGATGGAGAGGGGCTGCGGCCGGCAGGGAAGCCATGGTGCCCCGCAAAGCCAGACTTGTCAGCATCCACCCAAACAAACGCCCGTATCCAGGATGTGGCCAAACTCAGGAATGTGGAATAATAGGAAATGTCTGCAGCTTGCTGGGTGGGAGCCAGACGACATGGCACAAAAGAAGAAGGGAAGAAAGGATTTGGAGGCAACTCCACACTAAATGAGAACTCATCCCGTGTTCTCCTCGGGTCGCGAGAGCGGGCCAGCCCTGGCCTGACCGTCGGGGCTGCGTGCCCTTTATCACAACGACGGGGGGAATCACCCTTATTTTTTAGAAATGAATAGGCTTTTGTGTTGGGGCATTGGGTCACCTGTCGGCCAGGAGGCTTTCTGGGGTGGAGAAAAAAGAAGGATTGACACCTGCCCCCCACAGGCCTCCTGGCTATCGGCCACAGGTCTCTCCAGACCTCTCTGAAGCCTGTCTTCCCACCTGTACAATGGGGTGCGAGCCCCTGCCTCCACCTCAACAGGGTTGTGCCAAGAATCCAATGAGGACAGACATTTCCCAGAGTGGACCGTCTTCTCGACGGTCATCACCTTTGCCTTTAAGCCCCACAGGGAGCAGGGGGGACCCAGTTACATCCAGGAAGATAGGCCTCGGGCACCAAGTCAGTCCCCCGGGGAGAGGGCTTTGTCAGGGTTTCAGGAGGGCCTCAAGCTCGCAGACGTCTGCTCGAGGCTGCGAGGCTGCGGGCACAGAGGAGCTGAGAGGGCAGTGGCCTCGGGGGCGAGCTGGCCTTGGAGCGCTGCCCTGAGCCTCCTCCAGCCCCGGGCTGGAGGAGAAGGTGCGTCATTATCCTCAAAATGCCCTCGGGGGAGCGAGCCCAGCGGTGTCAGGAAGGGACGAGGCTTTCAGGTTTGGGAGTCTAGGTGGTTGTGCTCTGAAGAGAGCAGGGCCTGAGGGTGGACTCCACTGGGGCCCAGGGCAGGCGCTGGGGGCTGCCGGTTCAAGCACGATCCCTGGCCCGTCCTTCCTCGCGGTCCCAGGAACCTCCCAAGTTTGCCCCGGGGCCACGCGCGCTTGGCCCATAGCCCTCGGTGGGTCCGGGGGGCCGAAACTTGGGTTGGGCTGTGTCCATGGCCGCCCCTCGACAGAACACGTCTGGGAACCTCTGCTGAAAGGAATCCCCCACCCGTAAGCCCGTAAGCCCGTAAGCCCCGAAGGGACACAGCCAGCCTGCTCGGAGAGCGGTCAGCCGGGCCGAGACGGGCACCCACTCACCACAGCCAAGTTCAGAGGGAGAAAGAGCCCGGGGTGCTTGGGTTTGAGCCCTCAAAGGTGCTGAGGAGGCAGAGCGATAACATCACACCTCACTTCCTTCTTCTTGCCTTGAGAGTTGCTGTTTTAAATGTCCGGACTCCCTCCCCCCTGCCCCTGCCTGGTTTTCCACCATTTTCTGAGTGTGGGTTGCTTCTGTGTCAGGAAAATCCTGGTAAGCCGCAACTGGTCGGCTCCGGAGGTCCTACCTGTGACCAGTCTGAGAACATCCCCACCCCTCCCTGGAACCCGCAAGCCACAGGGTTGAATGCTTCCTGACCTTTTTACCTGCAATGTTGTGATTTATAAGAAATGCGTATTTGGTCATTCAGATGACCACAATATATTTCTCATACCTAGTTGGTCTTTGCCCACAATTTCTGGCTCACAAGTCCCTAAACCCTTGGAATTTTGAAAGCGGTTAAGGGCGATAAAGGTGGGTGTGGGTTTTTTTGTTTTTTGGGGTTTGTTTTTTTTTTTTGCTTTTTAGTAGGCTCCACCCCCAGCATGGAGCCCAACGTGGGGCTTGAACTCATTTCCCTGAGATCAAGACCTGAGCTGAGATCAAGGGTCTGATGCTCAACAGACTGAGCCACCTGGGGTAGCCCAAGGTGTCTTTTGTTATGTTAATAGAGGCTACTTTGGACCCCACCCAAGGGGACCGCTGTAGCCCAGAGGGCCCACCTTGTGGTTAGTGGGTTACAATTTCTAGTCCCTTACCCCCCGCCCCTGCAGCTCCTCCTCCGAGGGGAGGGGGGCATCTGGAGAGGGCCTCGAAGCTCCACACCCTTTCTCCATTCTTTGCCTTGACTATCTCTTCATCTGGCTCTTGATTCTTATCCTTTAATACACTGGTAAATGTAACTATTTCCCTGAGTTCTATGAGCTGCTCTGGCAAATTTATCGAATGTAAGGAGGGGGTCTTTGGAACCTCCAATCTGTAATGGATTGGTCAGAAGCACAGGTAACAAACAGCCTGGGGCTCACAACTGGCCTCTGATGTGGGGGGCAGTCTTGTAGGACGGAGCCCCCAACCTGTGGAATCTGGTGCCAGACAATACCAGGACTGCGCTGAAATCTTAGCTGCCCAGTTGGTATTTGAGAATTGCTGGGTATTTGCGGGGGGGGGGCGGTGGAGAGAAGGGGACCCACGTTTCGCGCAAGAATTGGGTCTGGGAACCTTTAAAGACCACCCCTCTGTCTGACCCCAGCCCATAGAGGCCTAGGGATCAGTCAAGCCCAGCAAAGAATTTGCAGGGCCTGGAGCAAACAGGATGTGGGCCTGGTTCGGGCCAGTGTCCGTGCGGAGCCTCGGGCCCTCTGAGCACAGGGGTCCTACAGGCGCCTACACCCAGGGCATCTTCAGAGCCGCCAGTTCTTCCAATGGCTGTAGGAGTGGTGTCCTGGAGCAAGAAATCCTGCCCCATTCAAAGGCAAATGTGACCCTCGGAATGCAGGGGAAGGGGGCAGGGGTCTGGAGCTTGAGAAAAAAAGGAACGCAGTTGACAGGGCGCTAAGAAGAGCCCTGTCTGGTAACTAGATGTCTGTCCTGCCACACAGATGTGTCGCTCAGATAAAATTTATCTCTGCTAATAACCCTCACTCTGGGAAAAGACTCCCAATTTAGACTCTTCTATGGAGTTAGGGGAGGGGCAAAAGTCTCTCTTGAGCCCGCAGGGTGTCAATTTCCTTCAGCTCAGAATACTCTTCGTGCCAAAGTGGCCATCTGGGGGTGACCTGCCCTCGGCCCTGCAGAGGGAAAACTTGTAAGTCAGCACAATTTCCCCCAATATTAGGGATGCGGCCCTGGACCTCACAGCCCAGCCGTGGGAGGGGAAGTGCCGAGTGAGCCAACCCCATCCCGGGGGCTTCTGTGTGCCTTGTCGTAAAACCCGTGATGGGCCTTTGCACTGTCTGGACCCTGACAGTCTGGAGGTACAGGAGGCTCCCCAACAATATTTGTCACCTACAGTGTTGTCACCACTCTGGCTGTTCTCAAGCAATGATGGGCTTCAGCGGGGACCAGAAGTCTACCTTTCAGTCCCCCCGGGGGACATGAGAGGGCCAGCCACCGGCTTTCTTCCCCATGTGGAGGACCTGACTCACCTTAGTTGACAGGAGGAGGAAGGGGAGGTCTGTCCCACGTATGTCACACCCAGAGAGGAGCAAAGGGCTCTGAGGCCAGGTCCAGGGCACCTGTTGAGGCAAACCCACCTCTGCGGGCCTGGTTTTAGTGCCCACCCCCCCCCCCCCAGCTCAAACTTGAGTGCTTTCTTGCAGGATCAGGTGGTGGCCCCATCGCACCCCCATCCCACCTCCCCACAGTGAACTGACTGGGACTAGGGGTTGCCAGGAGCCAACTTTCCAGGAAGATAAAAGACACATCCGTGGCTAAAGCCCAGGCCTGCCCTGCGGGGGCCTCAGCAATGGCCCCTCAGGAGCAGCGCCTAAACTTCTGGACTGGTAAAGCGCGGCCGGGTCTCTGCCTCGGTGGCCCGCCCGGCCCTGCCAGGCCCTAGGCTTGCCAGGGTCCCGGGGCTCACGGGACTCGCAGGGAGCGCGTGGGCATTTTCATTCCGGATTGCCAGCTTGGCGCGGGCCGAGGCAAGGCGGTGAACGCGCCTTCCCTCCAGAGCAGAGCCGCGCGCAGACTCGCCTGAGGCCCCCGCGGCCGTGAGGCCCCGGAAGCCGACGCCTGGACCTTGTCTTCCAGCGGGAAGGAGGCCATGTTGCGGCCTGCTCGGGTGACTGCCGCGCACGAGGAGCGGGCGGAGGGAGACACTGTAAAGTCATAAAAGCGGGGCCTGGGGGACCCACTTCTGCTTTTGGTTCCCCTTTTGCCCATGACGTATTTTGTTAGCAGGGAAGCTGTTCAAGCATCTTTGGCAGTTGGAGTGTAGAAATAATGATTTAGGAGCCACGTGAAATTCTCCTTGAGGGGCATTTTCTAGACGGATCCCTCCTTCCCGCTCTGCGGAGGGTGAGCACCTCTCCAGGAAGGGCCTGGGCCTTGGGGAAATGGGGCCCAGAGAGCCCGGCCGCGGGGGCGGGGGGGCGGCGGGGCGCCGGCAGGTGCACGGCGGGGCGGCGGGCGGGGTCGGGGTCAGGGCCAGCGGCGCGCCCCGCCCCGGGGGTGGGTCACCGGGCGCGGCCACCTTAAGGCCCCGGGCGGGGCGGGGCGGGGCGGGCGCAGCGCGAGGCCGGCGAGCGGGCGGGAGGCCATGGCGCCGTCCGGGCCGCTGTTGCTGCTGCTGCTGCTGCTGCTGGTCCCGCTGGCCGGCGCGCGGGCCGGACCCTACTTCCGCCCGGGCCGGGGCTGCCGCCTGCCCCTGCGGGGGGACCAGCTGTCGGGGCTGGGGCGCAGGTGGGCCGCGGGTGGGCTGGCCCCTCCCGGGGCTCCTGGGGGTCCGGCCGCCTCCCCGGGGCTCCAGGACCCTGGCGCCTGCCTCCCTTGACCTTTGAGGGTCAAATCCAGCCCCTGTGTTTTGGGGGGCACTCTTTCTCTTTACATTTGCAGGCTTGGACCAGCTTGGCCTGGGGGGGGCCTTTGGGGCGTTGCTGGGGGAGCCGTGTGGCTCCTGCATTTGGGGGCGCCCTGCCTCCTTCACATGCTGGGGGGGCTGGGGTCCCCCATGGAGCTGGGCTCACCTTCTCTCTTGGGGGAAAGGAGTGGGCCTGATTGTGTGGTGCCGATCTCTTCCCAGGACCTACCCCAGGCCTCATGAGTACCTGTCCCCATCGGACCTGCCCAAGAGCTGGGACTGGCGCAACGTGAACGGGGTCAACTACGCCAGCGCCACCAGGAACCAGCACATCCCCCAGTACTGTGGCTCCTGCTGGGCCCACGGCAGCACCAGTGCCATGGCGGGTAGGCGGGGTGACTGTGGGCCACCGCGGCCGGCCACACGGCCTCCTGAGCGGCACCAGCGGCCACAGCGGCCGTGATTCTGCGCCCAGACTCGGCCTGGGCTGGGCGGTGTCGGAGCCGCTCGGGCCTCGGGGTGCTGCCCTGTGCCCTCTGCCGTGCCTCGCTGGCCAGGGAGGGCCAGAGTGATTGACACAGGCCGGACTGTGTTCCCATCACACGGGGTGGGCCTGCCTGGGGCCTGAAGCCCAGGGATAATGTGGCTCGAGGGTGCCTTTTCTGTCCCCCAAAGCCTGTGACCCCAGGCATTTGGGATCAAATCAGAAATGCAGACTCACTCAACCCTCTGCCAGTGATGGGCACAAGGAAGTGAAACTGCTTTTCAGCAGCAGTTAATATTTGAGCTGCAGGCCCATCTTGGGCTTGGAATATTGAGCAGGGCTGGCAGGTTTTCTAGTCTGGCCCTGAGCCCTCTGGCCACAGTGAGGGAAGGCCTTGGGAGAGGACGGAGGAGAGGTGTCACCCAGCCTTGGGCCTCCATTCAGCCCCAAGCCGGCCTGCTAGTGTGTGGGAGGGGCTCTGCCATCTCCAGTGGCCCCCCCGGGGGTCCCGGAACCTGCAGTGGCACCAGATCTCCATTGCAGAGGGGACTCTTCGACTGGGTATCTGGCCCCAGGAGGGCAGGAGACCATGGCCTCCTCCCTGGTGGGTAGCTCACTGGGCAGGCCTGGTGTCTGTGGCCTCATGTCGAATGGGTTAAGAACAGGGTGGTTCCGGGGAAGCCTTCGAGCTGTCCTGTGACCGTTCCTATTTTGCGGACGGGGGAGCTGAGGTCCCTGGCCAGGAGGTCAGGAGACTCGGCCATGGTGTGAGTGGCAGCCGGGAGGACAACCCAGGAGGCTGGACTTTGGGCCAGGACCTCTGTTGGGCTGTCTGTAGGTTGAGGAGTGGAGGGTGGGGTCTGGACTCCAGGAGTGGCCAGCAGGAGTTTGAGCATACTTCTGACCCTTCAGGAAGGAGGAGGAAGGGGGCAGGTAGGCTGAGGCCCCATTTTAAGGTGTGAGAGCCCTTGGGGGAGGCTGGGGAGGCCCCCTGCCTGAGATGGAGATGGACAGAGCCCCTGGAGCATGTGGGGCCAGAGGCTTAAGTACTGGAGCCGCCGGGAGACCTCGGGCCAGGCCGGCTTGCGGGGGTGTGGGCGGGCCTGGAGGCAGAGGGTCAGGGCTCAGGCTGGGCAGGCATGGCGCTCACAGTGAGGAACTGAAAGAGGGCCTTTGTGGCATCCCTAAGGGTGGGGGATGGAGGGAAGGGCCAAGAAGGTCACCGGGGCGGGCCCTTGACATGGTTCCCTTTTCGGATGGTCAGCCCTGCCACGTTTCTGGAATGGACTCTCTCCTGGGCAGACAACTGCTTCTCTCCTCTCCTCGAACCTCCAGCTTTCTCCCCCGGCAGCAGGGCTCTGCTTCCTCTTTCACTGAGAAAACAGAAGCCCCCAAGAGGGGACTTCCATGGGCATGGGCCCAGCTGCCACCTAACACAGCTGCTCCCGGTCCGCCTTTCCTCCTGTCCCTGGGCGTCCAGCGTCCGAGCCCCTGACCCCGCGCCCTGTGCTGGGCCCTGGCCGTCACCGTGAACACGTGAGCAGGGGGCTTCGAGCCCGTGCCCCCCTCCAGCCACCGCCCCGCTTCTGGGCTCCCGGGAGAGGTGTCTGCAGCCCCTTCGTCCCTCCTCCAGCCCACTCCAGCCTTGCATCACCTCCCACTCTGCGGGCACCATCCTGCCAAGGCTGCCCGTGAGGGGCTGCCACACGGGCAGGTGCAGCGGTCCCCCGCCAGGCCTTGGCCTCTGCTTGTGCTCCATCATCTGTCCGTGGGACGCTGTCCCTGCCTTTCACCCCACACCGCCGGCTCCTCCTGCGTCCAGGCCGTCCCTCCCTCTGCTCTGCCGGCTCCAGCTCCTCCTCCTCCCCACGTAGCTTCCCAGCATCGGGGTCCCCTGGACTTCGCCTCCATGGGCACTCCACCTTGACACCAGCTGCCGCTCTCCTTCTGCTCGGACACCTGACACCTCAAACCTCAGCCTTTCCACCCTCACTGGGCTCACCGAGTCAGGATCGCAGCCTTCCTGTTACACAGAAGCCTTGGGTTGCCCCCCATGCAATCCTGGGCCAGATCTTGTCCGTTTTACCTTCAAAGTATGTTCTGAACCCCTCTGCTTTTTGCAGCCCCCATCCCTGCACCCCCAGTCTGAACCCCTGGCTCGCACTGCCTGGCCTCTGGGCTTGCCCCCTTGCCCCGCCACTGTCCCATCTCTGCTAGAGCGTGCCTGCCGATTGCCCCAGGTCGGATTGTGCTTCTGTTCTGCTTGAAACCCTGAGATTTTGGGCAGATAAAACACAAAAATCCTTACTTGACCTACAAGAGCCCCTGTAAGCTGGCCCCCATCCTGTGTTGGGACCCTGTGCATCAAGGCTGTTTTGTTGGGTGCCGGATACCCAGCGTGGAGAACAGCCTGGTGCACAGTGGATGAGCAAGGCAGGCCAGGACAGGTGGGGAGGGCTCTTCCCTTGTGTTTGGGCTACGTAAGAAGCGTATTAGACCCTCAGTGGCTGGGTTGGGTAGGGATTGGGTACGTGATTCAGGTGTGGACAGGGAGGCCAGCACTGGGCGGTGGGGAGTGGGCTCCCTGGAGGCATGGGGCACCTGAATGCAGATGCGCCCCTCTGCCGGGGGGTAGGGGAGCACGGAGGAGCCCAGGTTGGGGAAGCAGGGGTCAGCGTCGGCAGCTTCACTGGAGGGGAGGGGACGCCAGCGAGGTGGGCCTGGGCTGCAGGAGAATGGGGCTGGGAACGGAGACCCAGATGGCCGTCGGGAGCCTCACTGCGCAGCGGACAACTGCCGCATCAGTGAGGGTGCATGCGGGGTCGCAGAGGCTCTTTGCTGATGTTTCAAGAAAGGTTTGTGCATGTGTGCAGGTGCTAATGCGGGAGAGACCGGGGTCCACGGGGGCCTTGGGTAGGGGGCAGGCTCATGCCTCCTGCTGTCATGGGAGGTGGGTTGGGGACGCAGAAAGCTTGGACGGTGGGTGGCGGAGAGATGAGGGGACTGCGTTTGAGTTTTCCAGTGAAGTTTGGGAATGAGGGGTGGGGCGGCGTGAGAGGGGTCACTGTGGGCCCCGTGAGAGAGCCAGGTGGCAGGGGCCTCCGGTCAGCACATCAGCGAGCATCTCCCAGAAAGGGGGATGCCCCTGCGTAGCCACGGCGCATAAGGAGACCCAGACCAATGGAGGCGAAGCGTTTTGGAAATGGCAGTGGGGCAAAGGGGCCGGGACCACGCCTGCAGGCCTTGCCTGGTGTGGGGTGTGAGGGTGGAGAACCTCCCTCGGGGAAGTGACCCCCCGGGGGCGGGGGTTCAGCAGCCAGGGCCAGGCTAGTTAACGAAAGAAAACTCGTGTGCTCAGTCGTGCAGCTGATACGTACTGAGCACCTACTGTGCGTCAGTCGTGTTGAGACACAAGAGCTGCAGCTGGGGTCAGATGCTGCGGAGACAGACCCAGGGAACTCCTCGGACTAGTTAGCAGGTGACATGGGGTCAGCACAGCTGGGGAGGGGCCGAGAGGTGCAGGGGCGGGTGGAGGCCGACAACCTGCCGCCAGCAAAGGGGTGTCTGCAGGAAGGGCTCTCTGGGCCAAGGAGTGGCCAGGGGACATAGAGGAAGGGGCAGTGGGCGGCAGGGGCCTTGCTGGTGATTGTTGGTGAGTTCCAGAAGGCCGGGGCTGGGCGTGGGGGGAGGGCTGGTCAGAGGAGCCAGAGTGGGGCTGCAGGAGCACCGTGGTCCGGGTGGTGACACCAGGGATGTGGGTGAGCCGGGGGCGGGGGGGAGTGGAAGGGGGGACTGGTGTGTGTGGGGGTTCATATCCGTGCCTGGAAGGGCCCGGAGACCCCTGGAGAGCCGAGACTCCCGAGGCTGGGTCGGAGCCCCGGCTGGGTGGGCGAGCCGGTGGGTGCGTGGTGACCAGGTGCGGGTGCTGCCCTTGCAGACAGGATCAACATCAAGAGGAAGGGGGCGTGGCCCTCCACCCTGCTCTCCGTGCAGCACGTCCTGGACTGCGCCAACGCGGGCTCCTGCGAGGGGGGCAACGACCTGCCGGTGTGGGGGTACGCCCACGAGCACGGCATCCCGGACGAGACCTGCAACAACTACCAGGCTAAGGACCAGGGTAGGCCCCTGCCCGCCCCTACCACCCTCCTCCCAGGGAAGGTGTGGCCGGGGCATGGGGTGGGGGTGGGGCGGGTAGAGGTGGGAGCCACCTGCCACCTTGAAACCGGTGGGGCTCGGGGAGCAGGCAGCTGGAGCCTGCAGTCCTTGTTGAGAAGTCCAGCCAAAAAGATTTGGGGAGGGTGTCTCCAGCCTGGGGCCCCCTGTGGCCAGGGCTGGTCATGGTGTTTGGGTTGTGCCATGTTGGCATTTTGGGGCTTTCCCAAAATGAGCCCTTGTCAAGGCAAGAGTACACTTTCCAGGAGTGGATGAGGAGGGCAGGCCAGCAGCTGGGTAGACTGACGGACGCGGGCCCAGCTGGAACACAGCATCCGCCTGCTGCGCTGGCCGGGGCCGTGCATGTGCAGGTGGACTTGGAGCCGAGGGTCCTGCATGGAGCAGCAGAGCCAGCTGGCCTGGAGTCTTGGGAGTTGGCACAGTCCTTCTGGGCTGCTCCCCTTGGAAACCAAAGGAAAGAAAGTCCAAACCCCAAACCCATAATTGGCAGTTTTAAGTGACCTATCCCTGTCTTAGTTTCCTCTTGGCCAGAGCAGAGAGCCCGGGCGAACCCAGTGGGCCATCCGAGACAGCAGGGTTGGAGGAATGGGGAGCTCGGGGCGCTTTTTTGCCCCCACTCTCTCCCTCTATAAAAGGGTGAGCTCTAGCAGCCCCCTGTGCCCTCTCAGTGCCCGAGCAGACTCTGGGCGCCATCCCACACCCACGGGGTGCCCCCGCCTTGCGTCTGGAGCCATATTGCCCAGCCAGAAAGAATTCCCCCAGACTGGTTGGGTGAGTCTTGTTGAAGTGGTAAACATAAGAGGGGTCAGAGAACTAAGAGGCCAGATGAAGGGGAGAAGGCTCTGCAGAATTGGGGATCAGGTGGTCCCCAGGGCCGTGCCTTGCCCTGCACTGGTCTCGTCTGGCCTAGGCTGGGCCCCTGTAACCCACCCGTGCGACAGGGCCAGGTACAACTGAGCAAACCGACTGTTGGCGGTACATAGTCTCGCCTCTGTATTAGCAAATGTGGCCACAGATCCATCCCTTTCCAGTTGAATTGGGCACGGGGCATTTGGTGTCCCAGGGACAAATGAAACCAACAACTAGGTCCCTCAAGGAGTCTGATGTCCTGGGGGAGGAATCCGGACAGATGGGGAAATTGTAACACTTAGGTAACATGAGAGCTGTAAAAAGGCAGGATGGGGGATGTCAAGGGCCTGGGAAGGGGAGGGACAGTGTTGTCTTACAGAACTAAGAGCCTCCCTTTTTTTTAGCCTAATTCTTGATACCTCCCTAAACCAAAAAATACAAGAAAATATTTTTTCCAGATGTATTGGCCTGTTCACTAGCCAGCAATACAGTTATCTTTTTTTTTTTTAAAGATTTTATTTATTCATTTGACAGAGAGAGACAGCGAGAGAGGGGACACAAGCAGGGGGAGCAGGAGAGGGAGAAGCAGGGAGCCCGATGTGGGACTCGATCCCAGAACCCTGGTACCATGACTTGAGCCGAAGGCAGACGCTTAACGACGGAGCCACCCAGGCGCCCCTACAGTTATCTTCTTGAAAGCTAATAATTTAATTACACTCTTTTCAGCTATGGAGTCTTGTGAAAAGACCCCGTTCTTGGCCTTTCAAGGAAAAGAAAGGAGGCTAACTTTTGAGCGCCTACTACGCGCCCATTACCGTCTTTCTTTCCGGCCGCCGCGGGGGGAAGGGCTCCTCGTAACTCCCCTGGCGCTGGACGCGGAGCCTAGGTCCGCAGCCCCCGATGGCAAGAGGATTTCCGTTAGTAGCTAAACGGTCAAAGCGGGGAGCGGGCTCACGCGGACTTCGCCTGCTGTCCCCCAGAGTGCGACAAGTTCAACCAGTGCGGAACCTGCACGGAATTCAAGGAGTGCCACGCCATCCAGAACTACACCCTCTGGAAAGTTGGTGACTACGGCTCCCTCTCCGGCAGGGAGAAGATGATGGCGGAAATCTACGCCAACGGTCCCATCAGGTGAGGAGGCGAGGCGGGGGCCGCTGCCCGCCGGGTCCCCGAGGCCCCTTTCCCGGGGCGGGCCTCGCCGGCCGGGCGTGAGCTCTCCCCACAGACGCGGGACGGTGGGTGCGGGCCAAGTGCGCACGCGCACCCCCGACGGGAGGCGAGTCAGTGGCGGCAGAATCCGCCCCCACGCGTGGGGGAGGGGGGCCCTCGGGGCTGGTGGGAGCGGGGAGGTTGTCCGCGCGAGGGGCTCACTCTTGGACGCCTTGCGCTCAGCTGCGGTATCATGGCGACGGAGAAGATGGTCAACTACACGGGCGGCGTCTACGCCGAGTACCATGACCATGCCTACATAAACCACATCATCTCTGTGGTCGGCTGGGGCGTCAGCGATGGCACGGAGTACTGGATTGTCCGGAATTCGTGGGGGGAACCGTGGGTAAGATGTTCGCAGATCCCAACCCCAGCCCCCTCCGGCCCTTCTTGTGGCTTCCCAGCCGCGAAGTGCGGCCCCGAGCGGAGGGGCTTCCTGCGCCAGCCCAGGAGAAACGCTCGCGACGTCTGGGGTCGCGCCCTGCCGGCGGGGAGGGCGGGCTGTCGCTGTCCTGCAGGTCGTGGCGTGTGTGCGGCCGCATCCCTGGCCCCACCCGTCAGACACCAGTGGCTCCTCCCCGTCCCCCCCCGGGGGGGGGGGCCACCGACAGTGTCTCCAGTCACTGCCAAGGGTCTCCTGGGAGCCCCCGCCCTGGTTGCAAAACACTGTTCTGCAACGTTCAGTTCAGCTCGATTTTTCCCTTACAACCGTCTTGTCCTTTCTGCTGTCACAGCCTCGGCTCTCCCAAGTCATAGTGGAGTTTTTTCAGAATTACTTTTGAGTTGGGTTAGAAACCCAGGGGAGATAAATTAACTGCCAGAATTTTCATTTCTAAGACCCAGTATTAACCATTAACAGCCTAAGACACAGAAATTCATTACTCTGAAGTGGGGGAGAGTGATTAATGTTGAAGTGATGAAATGTCAATACTTTTGATGAAAGGACTAGAAACCGGGGATATTAATAGGCAGTTAAGTCATCTGGCCCGAAGAGTCAATATTCTAGTTACATTCATTTGCTTTTGGCTTACAGGGCCAGGCACCCTGCTTGTTAAATATTAACCAAGTAAAAATATTTCACAGACGGTACTTGGGAGTCGGGGTCCCGCGCAAGGGCAGGCGCACCCAAGCCGTAGGCTGTGGTGAGGGGGGCGGAGGGTCAGCGTGCAGGTGGAGAGCAGGGCCACGGGAGACGGGCGTGTGGGGAGCTAACGTGTCACCCCTCCCCCACAGGGTGAGCACGGCTGGATGCGGGTAGTGACCAGCACCTATAAGGATGGGAAGGGTGCCAGTTACAACCTTGCTGTGGAGGAGTACTGTACATTTGGGGACCCCATCGTTTAAGGCGCATGTCTCCAGAAGAGCAGTGCTATCGTGAACCACAATCAGAGGGGGTCCGCTCGCTATGGGCACTGGGTTGGTACCACCACGGTCTGAAGGGACTAGGGGCTGGCATTCAACACGATCTGATGGCTGGTCACAGCACTGAGCACCTAGAAGGGGCGCGTGTCGACCTGCAGCCTGTGGCGGCGCTGGCCGCAAGCGCGCTCCCGGGGGAAGAGAGAAATGGGAAGGCTGGGACCCCCGTGCCGGCAGCGCCCCTACCACCAGGACGGCAGCCGACAGTGTGCCTGGCCAAGGCGTGATCCGCAAGGCCGTCATGACGGGACCTCCAGCCTCTTCAATCCATGGTTTGGTGTTTCCTATTTGGCAATGTGGTCTGTAAGATGGTAAAGAAGGGCACACTTACCGCTAGTTCTGATGTCACCCTGGAATCAGTGGTGGGGGTGGAAGGAGAGAGAAGACAGCCCTTTGGGATTGCCCAAGTGATGAATAAAATACGTGACCCCCACAGGAGTAGAGCCTGAGCGCGCCGTACTCACACACGGGAATGGTAACACCAGGGTCTCCACCTGCCAATCCGGCAGAAAGGCTTTTTAATTTATTCTTGGAAAATTAAAACAATGACAATAAAAGATCAACTAACGGGGTTCTTGTAAGAAAAGTCACCTTGGAAGGTGGTTCATCTACATGTCTCAGGGTCTGAGCTCCCCGCCACCGTGGGAGGGCCCCAGCTTCTGCGCTGGGGGGAAAGGGACGTGGTCAGCAGGGTGCAAGGGCAGCCCGGACTCTGAGGAAAGGGGCCATCTGCACTAGCGGCCGTACAAACGGTCACCCACCTCCTCCCACCAGAGCCCAGTCCCGGGACGCTGACTGGGCCTCTTCAGCAAGAGCTTCCGGAAGGGTTTTCCCCCTGCTGGGCTCCTGGAACATTCTGGGTCAGCTCTGGAGGATGCTCTAAATTAGTTCACCAAGATGAAGTTGGACTTGCAGTGAGCTTTCACAAACAGAAGGAAAACAGGCACTGGGTTAGAAACAGGAGGTGAACAATGACCTTTAAAGTTGCAGCAGAGGGACACGCATGTCAACCCTACCTATAAACTCCGTCACGGGGTCATGTTCACCTTCTGTTTTAATGGTGCCGGCGATGCTGTCGTTTTCCAAGATGGGGAGGAAAAGCTGCACAAAGTCAGAGGTGTACGGAGGAGCAATGACATCCAGTACCTAGGAGGAGAGAACACCGGGTCACTCCCCGCATGGCCTCTGAGCAGCGTCCCCACCACCTGATGAAATGGCAATCAGTTTGGAGAAAGCCACCCTCCCCTCCCCACCCTTTCCACTTCCCGATGACCACAGTCTCCAAAACTAAGACACCCAGGTGGTTATGTAGGTAAAACAGAATATGGCTCCTGCAGGTGGGAGGGGCTGGGTAAACTGGTATCTAATCATTGCCGTCACCCCGATTATCAGAAAGCACAGTTCTCAGAGTTAGGTACAAAATAAACTAAATTTAAGCCAAAAGGCAACAGTATGAAACATGAAACAAACGGTGTATTGCTGACCTCAGTTACAAAATAGCGAATGAGTGAAATGTCAGTGTCCAGCTTCTCCAGACACTTTCGGATGTAACTGACAACAGGAAGTACATAACCTCGACTCAGCAGGTGAACCATCCTGTCCAACAGGGTCTTCTTCAACTCAAGCTACGAGAGCGGGGGCAGACAGATCTGTCAGAACGGGTCCTCGCCCCGAGCCTCCACGACGCCCGAGGGCCACCCGCTCACCTGCTCCATCACGTCCAGCTGGGAGTGCTCCGTCTCGAAAAGCTTAACAAGCAGCTGCAGGACCTGAGGGTGCAGGAGCTGGTGGCAGGTGCTGATCTACAAACACGCCAAAGGGAGCCCCGCTGAGCACTGCAGCCGGGTCTCTGGGCTCACCATCAGTGCAGAGAACCGTCAGCAATGGTCACAGCTGGCTCACGGCGGGTGCCCAGGATGGCAGGCCTCAGCAGCCAGCCCGCAGCCCGTCAGCTTCTGTGCCATTCCTCATCCTTTCAAAACACTGGCTGAAAACTGCAAATCTATGGAACCAATGAAACTAGTTCCTTAAAAGGAAAATCCTCGTTAAGGATAGAAAGTAGCCAGCCCTGTACAGAGCAGCTCCTGCATTCGGTGAACAGATGTCCCGGCAGGCCGGGCCCGGGCAGGGTAAGGTACAGACAGTGCCATCATCGCTGGCCCGGTGGTCCTCCTACCTCATCCAGCAAGGCCAGGTGCACCGGGGTGTGGTCAGTCTGCAGCTGGAAGTACCTGGGCTCAGACACGGTCCAGTCCACCCACTTCAGCACACCCATTGCTACTACCGGAAACCTACGGGTACAAGTAAGGCACAGTGCTTCCTTTACATGACGTTTAAAAAAAAACCACCAACACCACCAAAACTAAACGGTTGGGGAAGGCTTAAAAACCCACCGCCACTCCGTCTATCCCAACAAGTCACTCCCAATGTGTTCTGCCAGGGAGATGCTTGTCCGTGAGTCAGTCTGAGGTCAGCATCCTCTCAACATGCCGTACAAGACCCCGACCTCCCTTATCGGCTTACTTTAAACCACATTATTGGTTTGGAAGGACAAGATCATTTATGCAGAACACTCAGGGAGCTCGGACTGGGTTGAAGTTCTATTTAGTAAACCCTTTCCTTGTCCCGGGCACAAATTACCAGGGGAAAGACTCGACTGCCCAAGGGATCGCCTTATTTGTAAGCTCTTCTGACTGTGTGTTTATACCATTGCTATGGTCACACGTCCTTTCCTGCTAAGCAATACCTTGTCGGCCTAACATGTACTACAAATAGACCCCTTTCTTTCAAGCAGCTTTCGTAATTCTGGTGGGTCTTCCTTTTTCTGAGGCTTAATTTATGAACAGACTTCTGGCAGGTAAGCAGCTGAGCATTACTCGTGCTGCTAAAACAGTTCAAAGTTCTCTACATTTTAAAAAGAAAACAAAATCAGTAAGTATCTCTGAAGCTTTTGTTACATATTTTTTTGAGCTTTTAATAAAATGAAAACTCAGACCACCCCCTCCAGAAGGATCCAGTTTAGAACGAGGTTTGATTTTGCTCACCTGATGCACTGATAAAGCGTGCTCAGCTCTGCCACCAGCTCGGAGGCCCCTTTGTTCTCGTTACAGCACAAATTGTGAACGGTTTCCACAGCTTTCGACGTTGACTTCAGCTCGTCCTTGTTGATGCCCACGCGTTTGTTCTGAGAACACACACGCGAGTCTGTGAATCCCGACGGCGTGCGTGGCCTTGCAGGTGGGGTGATCTGCTACCGGCCGCCTCTCCCTGCAGACCCCTCCCCATCCCTGGGGTCAGGAGTCAGCTCAGCTGCCGCACTCCAGTCGCCCGGCTTACAGAAACAAGCCAGGGAACTTGGGCCTGGGGCTGAGGGAGACCTGGTCGGTTTCTTTAGCTGCACTTTCAATTCCAGTTTGAAAAAGTCTTACAGATGCCATACACATTTCCTTGAGAGATTTAGCACTTCGACTATTTCATGCATGAACACTAAAAAAGATATTTCTGACACGAGCTGGGTTTATGACTTCTTGCAGCCAAAATTCCCAAATAATACCAAAGAGAGGAGATTCCTTGTCTCCCGAAAAGCCCAGGAATTCTCAACTGATAGTACCTTTTTCCAGGTCTCAACCACGCTTGCTGCGTAGGCCAAGATATGGATGTATTTGTGCTTGTGGTCCTGGTTGATTCTGGCCCCTGGCTTAAAGAGCGACTGCATGAACAGGTCCAGGAAGGCCGGCACCCGGATCTGAGGGGACACACGGTATCATTGGAAAGGAACGCATGGAAGAGATGTCAGGTAAGTCCACATACACTTAACGGCAGGAGTGAGGGCATGCCCACTCACATCCACCCTCCTGTGCTCAAGCTGGCAGGTGTCCCAGTGTGCGCGAGGGCTGAGGATGTGATGGGGAAGGATGAGGAAAAGGGCAGAAACATTTCAACATGGATTTGTACTCAGTGACTTAAGAGAAACACGGGCTTTCCAAAATAACCCTTCTAATCGGCATGGAGGATGTCCCACCTTATTATTAAAATGAAAGCAACTTACGAGTTCAACGGGGGGCGGGTCCATGCTTGTAAACATCTTGAACAGGACTGTGATGTCAGCTGGATTCAGGGCTCCTTTGGACAACATAGCCCCAAGGGCCTGACAGGCCCTGGGGTAGGAGGCAGCTGTACCCAGTGCTAGTGTGATCTGACTGGCATCATGACCTCTTGATGAAAAAAAGCACATATCCCATTGTTAAGAAGGCGGCGCCCTGCCCTGCCCTCTCCTTCCTCCTCTGCCGCTTTCCTTCCTTTTTTCACACCTAACACTTGGGACTGCTTGGGTCCCTTTGTTTTTCATTTTTCTGTCATTCACTGGGAACCTGACCGACCCATAAAAACAGCACTTAAAGCTAACTGGGAAAGAAGGACTGGATGCAGCTTGCAGACTTTCCAAAAGGAGCCACACGCTTTTAATGTATCACTAAGACTCCATTAGTGGAGGATAAACTCACAAGGGCTCATTTTGTTCTGTAAGATACAGACTACAACATAACAATTAGACTACTGAATAACTATTTCAGGACTACTATTATTTGCTATTGATGAATCCTAATATATGAGATTACAGGTTCACAGATCCAGTGAATTGAACAATAATCAGTTACTTTACAAAACACTCATCAAAGCCAAACTTCAGAAAGCAAGCTCTCTACATGTATTTAAAATTACCCTGACTTTTCCAGATGTACCAGGTAAAAGGAAGTTTATATATCTGTCAAGATAGGAGGACCCAGAGCCTCTGGTTGTAGAGAAAGGGCAAGGGGGGTGTGGGGGGGAGTTTCGTGGGGAGCACCTAGTTAGGACCAGGGCTAGCAAAAACACGGCTCTCACTTCTCCTGGGCGAAGCGCTGCACCTCCTGAGCAATCCTACGCACGGCGGAGCCTCCCTGCTCTTCCTGGGCCAGCACCGACATCATGGCCTGGGCAAACAGGTACGTGTGCTCCCCGTGGCACACCATTTTCTGAAAAATTGCAGGGCAGAGAGTTTGGGCTTTCACGGTTGCAGCGCTGACAAATGTCGACAAAAAAGCCAGACCCCCAACCTTTCTGCATGCAAGTTATTTATGCTGGAATGGGCCTTCTGACCTGGACACTGTCTATAGGAAGAAGCATTTCATGTTTCAATATGCATGACCCAAAGCAGCCTCCTTCGAATCTGAGATACACAAAAGAAGGAACTTACGGCAAACTCAGGGAGATTTTTTTCAAGGTTTTCCTCTCCTCCATCCAAAATTGTAGCTAGAGAGGTACGGAGTACTCTAGAAAACACTTCCAACTGCTGGCAGGCTGTGGATACACTGGTTATCTCCCCTTGGTACCCTGCATCAGAAATAAGCTACAATACAAAAATAAGAAGCCAAACAAAGCATCAATAGGCAGTGACCACACACTGCATAGGAAGCTGGCTTGTCGTCAGTGTTTGTGGTGAGGTGGGGCCGAGCAAACACTGCTCTCAGGTCTCAGACCTTTATTCTGATCCCGGCCTTGCCACTGACTAGGCCTGCGGCCCAGGCTAACCATCCCATCTTGGTTTCTTTGTGTGTCACATGAAGGGGACAAACCAGGCATTCTTTTTTTTTTTTTTTTTTCCTCTTTTTAAGTAATCCCTGAGCCCAACGTGGGGCTTGAACTCACGACCCTGAGATCAAGAGTCGCATGCTCCGGACTGAGCCAGCCAGGCGCCCCAAACCAGGCATTCTTAAAGATTCCTCTCAGCACACAACAGACTCTATAAATGTGTTCCTGCCAAATTTTAAAACAGAGTTCATGTTGATCCAAAAACACAGATATGAGGGTGCCTGGCTGGCTCAGTCTGGTGGAGCATGTGACTCTTGATCTTGGGGTTATAAGTTTCGAGCCCCACACTGGGTGTGGACATTACTTAAAAACAAAATCTTTAAAAAACAAAACAAAAAAAACAAAAACCCCACAGATACATCTTCTATGCTCTTCTCTCTCACTGTTCGGACTTACTGAAGTGAAGTGATGGAGACCTTTACCAAAAACCAAATGCGACCTTGCAGAAGAAACAGACCACCTCCCAACCAACCCAAAATAACTCTCGTTCTTCAGCACTTCCACCTTTTCTGTGACTCTAGTACTCTGCCTACCTTAACAGTGAAGTTAAGCATCAAACAGTCTGGATGGGCTTCAGCCAGTTTGTAAAAAAGATCTCTCCACGTGGTATGTGCAATCATTTGTTCAAGCCAAGCTGGGGTCTGCCAACAAACAAACAGACGGCAAGATAAAAGGCCTAGCTTGAGCTTAAGTGAAGATGATACTGTATAAACAGTGGCTGGCTATCCCATCTGGAAGAGCCCCCGAGAGCATCTAGATCCAGCCCCGCAGTCCCAGCCGCGGAAGCAGACCCAGAGCTGGTGATGCCACATGGGAGGCTGAGTGGCAGCGCCAGAGCCCTGAAGGCCCACTCACAGCTTCGGGAAGGCTCAACCGCACACCAGAGCATACCGGAAGGCGCTTCCGGGAAACATGCGAGAGTCTAGGGAAGCCCACGGAGAGGGGCTGCAGCACACGCACATCAGCTGTGTGCCCTGGGCAGGAGGAAAAGGCCGTGTAGTAGCACAGTGGTTTTGTCCATCACCATGTGTGAGTGACAGACCCAAGGGCTGACTCTGAGGCCACCTCTCATTTGTGCCAAGGCCAGGCTTCCCACCGGACACTCCCAGCCACCAACTGAGCGTGGCAGGGCTCCTCAGGCAGGCCTGTTCCCAGGAGACCTGGGCCTCACTGACACTGTGGAAACTTTCTGAAAACGGCACTGTCACCTAGGGCTCTTTGTCCCCAGCCTTCCTTCCCTCCCTCCAGTCTTCGGGGGCCACACCTGCATCATGGCCCCCCGGCCCCTGCTCATCTTCTCTCACACACATGTCCCCCGTCATCTCCTGCACACACAACCCAACCCCGTCCTGGTGTCTGCCTGCTGGGGCACCCAGCTGACTACAGCACTCCACTCAGAGCCTGTGCTCCAGAGTCAGCAGGACACGGGAGCTGGGGTTCTGCTCTTCCTCCTCCCCAGCTCACTACGTGTGCGCCTCTCCGCTCACGAGAGCTCGCCACACTGCACGGAGCATTTAGAGGGCAGCTCTGACTCTACGCAACTCATCTCACACCCTGATTTTAGGACCCAACGCTTTACTCACATAACACAGCACACTCCACTGTATGCGTGGAACAAGCAAAAGATCCCAGGAACCCGTATTAGAGAAAGAAGACAGACTCCTCACCTCTCCTTCTTCAGTAAAAATAGAATCTGCTTTGCGGGGGTCAAAATGTTTGATCAATAAACTCTTCAGGTGATTTTCCACTGTTTCCTGAACCTGCACTGGTTCAACACCTGTAAGAAAATGAAAACAACCAGATGGAAAATGGCAATCCCTCAATCCGTTGTACTCCTTTAGGAAAAGTAGACAGGTGAAAAGTCTACATGTGAATCAAAGACCACAGAACTGCTTCTGACCACTGGGAATTTAGGACTGCTTATAAAAATTACTATTTGTTAACCATATTCAGTGGTAAGACTCAAAAAGGAACACAGGGCGGAACACACAAGGATGTTGGCCTACATGGAAAGGCCAGCGGCATCTTGGAAACCTCGGTAAGGGCAAGGACAAACGGCCAACACAGACAGGTAGGAGGATGGAAAGACATTCCCGCCATGGTGGAAGAGAGCAGACGCCAGCCACAAGAGGCGCACTGTCTCTAAGTGCTGTGGCAGCCCTACCCCCTGATGTCATCCACACCCAGCTCAGTGGACTTACAGGCTCTACTTTGATCATATTAGCTAAAAGCCGTAATCATACCCAGTCCCACATTATCCATCAATTACTGCCTGCTGTAACAGATCTCTTAAAAATGACACACTGAACATATACTGTATAATCCTATAATTCTACAACATGGTAGGGCAAACAGCTCAATGAGAATCACATTTGCAGGCTATCTGTAAACCTCCATTATTGAACCAAAGATCAGAATCAAGCAGACGAGGAGGGGTAAGAAGTTCGGTTCCGACTTACAGAAGTCTTCAAACCCAAGAAAACAAACAAGGCCGTTCCAATTCATCAGCATTAAGATGATCCAAAGGTCTATAAAAAAGGTGGGGTGGGGGAAGTGACCAGCCAGGATGGGGGCCACCCACAAAGCACCTGTCTGAATGAGCCACTCAGCCAGCAGGTTCACAGTCTGGGCCACGGCCGTGTAGTTCTCAGATAAGAGCTGGATAACGTTCTCCGGAGACCCTCCTGCCTGAAAATACCTAGAAAAAGGAACAGAAAAGCTACAGCAGGAGCATGGGGATTAATGACAAGATAGCTAGGATATTAAGATGTTTAAGGGGGGGGCAAAACTAGAAGCCTTCCATTCGAAACCCACATTATTCTCACTTCTGCACATCATCCTCTGGATCTCTGACAGACTGTCTCTAAGTTACCCCCAGCCCCCTCCCAATACAAATGTCCTTTCTCACACACCTCTTCAGAGTGTTGAAGATGGAGGGCTCCATTATATAATCTCGGGTAGAAAACTTATGTAGGCATTCTTGCTGGACCTCTGCGTCATCTTCTCCCTCTCCGTAATCCTCTTCCTGCTGGTGGCAAAAAGAGCCATGTGATTTTTTCATTAATACCAGTATCCCGTAATCTCACCTTAAATTTCTATCACCTTTCAAAATTGTCCCTCCCACATACATGATTTAATTGACTTTCACGACAGTTTCATGAAGTGGGCGGGACAAGTAATGGGCAGCTACGAAAATTGAATCGAGAACCACACACAGCAAGCAGGTTCGTGCTGTGCCTCCACCCTGGCACACGTGGGCACAGTGGCCACACAAGTCACCTAAGCTCGTGGGGTGGCCGTTTCCTCCTCTATTAAAGGTAATAATAGTGACTGCTCCCATCTGTCTGTTGTTAAGGACTCCGTAATCTAATTTCTGGAAGAACCAAGCAGAGTACCTGACATTTAGTAAGATCTCAATAGATACTAGTTATTGTTTTCACAACTACTATTTCATATGTGCCCTTTAATGCTTTCCTCCAACAAAGACTGATGAAGCGACTCCTGAAGGCAAAAGCCATCAATACACTGTTAGAAAGTGAAGGTCACAGACTTGCCTCACGTCGGCAGGCCTGGCTGGAGACTAGTCCCTGTTCCAGGTGGAAACAACCTTGGGCAAGTCACTGAATTTAAGAACAAAGCAGGATGATGATGTGATGACATCAAGGTCCGTCTGGCGTGAACGCTGTCATCCCAACTAACAAGCAGATGCTTTTTAAACGCTTGCTCTGTACTGAGCACTGTACTTGTCACCAGGAAACCTAGGACATATAAGACAAGATACGGCTTTTTCCACCAAAGGACTTCACAAACTAGGAGAGACTAGTCTGCCTCTAGGCGACTAACCTAATGGGGTAAGACCTGGACCAGGAACCAGCAAACTATGGCTCAGGGCCAGATCCAGTCCTTCTGTTTTTGTAAATAAAGTTTTATTGGAACCTAGCCACACCCATTAAAAATTTTTTCAATTTTACATATTGTTTATGGCTGCTTTCCCCTTGCAATGGGAGAGTTACGTAGTTGTGACAGGGACCTGCAGAGCCTAAAATATTTACTATCTGGCTCCTTACAGAAAAGTCTGCCCACCCCTGGTCTGGACTAACATTCTGCAAGCCGTGCTTTGGAAACAGATTCCTTCTATGGAGACTGGGGAGTTTTCTCTCAGATCTTACTTGTGTGGGGAGCCTTGAGCAAGGCTGTGAAGGAAGGCTGGCCTTTACCCTGAGACTCATCCTTGTGTGTCTGTATTCTTGGGCTTCTGCCCTCGGCCGTATTCTCTTCTACATCTTCTCTTGGGTAATGCCACCTCCCTGTTCATACATCTAGAATTTAGCCTGGATCTCTCTCTCGAGCTCCACACTCGAGTGTCAGCAGTCGAGCAGAACTCGAGTTCTCCAAACTCATGAGGTCCAAAACTGACCTCTAAACAGATTTTTCCTCCAACCTATATTTTAGTAAAGGATTCCATCATCTACCTGTTACCCCAAACCCAGAAAGCTAGGAGTCACCCTCAGTTTCTGCCCCCTCACTCCACCCCCGCACGCCATCACAAGGACCCACCAATTCTGTCTCCCACACGTCTATCCAATCTGGGCCTTGCCACCTTTACCACTCCTTATTTTGTGCATTGCTTGCAGTGGCAAAATGCCCCAATGGCTCAGCCTCATTTCTTCCTTTCAGTCATCTTCCACTCAGATGCCACAACGGTCTGCATAAACCACACGTCTGACACCTCTCTCGCTCGCTGAGAATTCCCAGTCTCCCTCAGAGAAGATATCCAGCCTCTAGCACGACTTTAACCTTTCACTTGCCCACCTGGCCGGTCTCATCTCTGGCCAGTCCCCATTGGCAAGCTGAAGCCAGACTAAACTTTTGCACTTCAGTAGCTCTTAGCTTCTATCATCTGGATTTAATATCACTGTAGCCTCTTTACACATCTTCCTGTCTCTCAAATCCAGTAACATGGCATCATGTGAACAGAATTTGTGTCACAAAATTCGACCTACCACTGTCTTTCGAAATCCAGCTCATGTCACCCCTTCAGTCACCTTCCTTGACTTCCTCTTCCTCCTCCAAGCAGTGAGAATGAACATGAAGTGAACGTACGGTCCACCCCTCTCATCACTGAGAGCCTATTAGGGCCAGTGGGCTGCATTTCGATCATGATTAAGGTTCTCCATGCATGAGACTCCCCAACCTCCTGCCATTCCTAGCTGCAGAAGCTAGGGCATTTAACTGGACGAAAATGAGGGCACTGGTCTAGATGGCCCTTCAATATGCCTCGGTTGTAACACCCTGGGACTTAAAGGCTCAATGTGACAAGTAATATGACACTTTGAACAGGATGCTCGAAGCATGAAGCTACCACGAAGCTCATTTATATCATGTTGGTGGTCCAGCACTTTGATAAAGTGGCAGTGGAGACAAAAGGACCTGGGTTGGATCCCCATTCTTTCATTTACTAGTTTTGTGACCTTAAGCAGGTCACTCGCTTTTTTTTGGCCTCACTTTCCTCATTTACAAAATGAGATTAACCCCCACCTCCAAAGCTCCTGAGTGGAAGGAGATAATGCCGGGAAGCACCTAGCTAGCAGGCTCTCAGCCAGATCTGCCTCCATCTACCCCACTCTGAGCCTCCAAACACACCAACTTGTGGTATCATTCCGTCCCAAACTCCTGAACAAGTCCCACTTGTCAGCAGCCATCAAAGGCCCTTCAGAACGTGTTCCCTTTTGCAGAACCTCATGCCACTGCGCTCACCACACAGGACTCCTTTCAGCTCCAGGAACACAGCACCTATCTTTGCATCTTTGTACCTCAGCTCCAAGGCCCTCCCTGGGCCACTGCCCCCTTCCAATGGCGGACGCCCCACTCCATCCGCTCTTCCTTCAAAATGTTGAGTTCAGTATTTCCCACACGTGATGTTGGCTCTTGTTAGCAGGCAAATCCCCAGGCTCTCCTCCAGGCCAGCTGTACGGGTCCCCAGGGGAGGGACCTGAGAAGCTGCATTTTGAACAGCACTTTGGGTGTGTTTTCAGATTAGACCAAGCTCGGGCCACGCCGGCAGAGCTAGAGCCCCCAGTGCTGATTTTCCAACCCGGCTTCGAGGAAGGTGGGGACGACCCCTCCTCAGCCTCCATACCCCCCCTCAGGGTTTGGAAGGAAGATCCTTTGGGTGTCACCTCACTGGAAGATTGACTGAATCGACCCAAAGCACTGAGAAGTATGGTTTACAAACAGTAAAACACATGGAAGAAAGACCAGAGTTCCACTTTTCCCCTCATGATGCTGACTTGGAATTTTTCAAAGATTTGAGTTGTTCAAACTTGGGGCTCGGAGCCCAATCCTTAGAGTTTGGTGCCCTACCCGCCTCTGGGGGAAGGAAACAACGGCACCTGACACTGAGGCTGGCCCCAAAGGAGCGGTCAGCGGGCCCCTCGGGTCACGACCGGGTGGCCAGCACCTCTGCGGCCCAGACCCCGAGGAGGAGACACCCCCCGGCCCGGCCCCCGCCCCAACTCGTCTGCAGCGGAGGGCACCGAGGCCCAGAGAGGCCGCGGCGCTCTGGGCCGGCCCCGTTGGCCCGGGGGCGAAGGCGGGCGGCGGGCGCTCGGGGGACGCGGGGGGCGCGCTCCGGGGAGGGGGCGGGGCACGCTGTGCTTGAACCGTACGGCGACCGCGGGGCCGGGCGCGGCGGGGGCGGGGCCGGCCCGCCGGCGACGGAGACCAACAGTCCTCGTCGGGGACGCCCGCGCCCCCCCTCACCTGGCCACCGTCCGCCTCGTCGCCCCACTCGGCCGCGCTCCCGAAGTAGTCCTCGTCCATGATGGCGCCCGGCGCGGCCCCCGCCATCCTCTCCCGTGAGCGCGCGCGAGCAAGGCGCATGCGCACGGCGGGGGGGGCGGGCGAGCGCACGCGCGGTCCCGCGGCCCCGCCCCCCGCGGCCGCGCGCCTGGGGCCGGGGAAGGGGCGGGGCACAGAGAGCGGCTCCTTAGTCGTGGCTCTGGTCGCCCAGGGCCCGGCAAGGGCCGGCGGAGGCGTGGCCTGGACGAGGGGGCGGGGCTCAGAGGGCAGCCGCAGGCTCGCGGCTCTGGGCTCCTTGGGAGGACAGAACGCCCCGAAAGGAGCTGGGAACGCCGCCTGGGTGGGTCCCAGGGGTTTTAGCTCCGGATAGAAGTTTAAAACCAGGCTCACTCTTGACCTGGGTTCGGGTCCCCGCTCCACTCCTTCCCCGTGACTTTGGGTCTTGAGAGCATCGGTTTTCCCATCTGACACCTGGGCACAAGAGCAGGGCTGACTTATGGGGCACAGTGTCTAGGGCCTACGAAAATGTTTTTATTTCTTTTAAAATCAGAATACCAATAAGTAGTATAATGATGAATCCAGCCTGCATTGTATTTGTATAATTGGTATAAAGAACTGAGGCAGTGTAATATATAATTTTAAATATTTCTTTATGGAAGAAGGGTGCACAAAGCCAAAAGTGCTCTCAAATGTCATAATGCAGCCCTGGAAGAGAGGGCCTACCTCGTGGGATAGTTTTAAGGATTAACTGAGATGATGCTTTTTAAGCCCGCAGCATGGTTGTTCCCTGCATGTAGTAGGAGGTACAAAAGTGATGGACTGCTGATCATCATTGGGAAGAGTTGAGCAGGGATGTTAACACCATCAGATCTGGATGCTTTGAGAGATAAAGCCCATGCATCCGTACGGAAGAGCATTAGAGACATGAGCTCTAGAACATTGGTAATGGTGACCGTTTCCAGAATGCTTACCAGGAGCTGTGATTTCATTCATTCCTTCTCTCATTCCTTCAACTCCTGCTTATTGAATGCCCCCATCATCTGGCCCTGTGCTACTCCGGCAGCTCATTGGTGAACAAATTGGACATGATCTTTGTCCAGGAGGACCCCACATTCTAGTGAAGGAGCTGAACAAGGAACAAACAAAAGTAATAACAGAGGGTGACAAGTGCTAGTGTTTTGTGATCCTAGGAGAGAGGCCAACTTTGGACCATCAGACAAGGCTTCTTTGTGAAACTTATATTTGAGCTGAGGGTCATATGACAAAAGGAGTCAAGCGAGCTTGGACCAAGGAGAGAGCGTTGTAGGAGCCAAGGTTTGCCATGTGTCCTGGGAACGCAAAGGCCACTGGCACTGGTACCTGGCCAGCAAGGGAGAAGCCTGGGTGAAGTGGGCAAGGCTGTCTCCAGGATGTGGCAACTTGACACCTTCGGGGGAGCAGAGGAGCAGGCCCAGGAAGATGTTGCTGAGACCTCTAGCCCGTGGGTATGCCATGGCATGCCGTGGAAACAGGGAGCCCAGGATGAGGACCATAATGCATTTCACTTGAGTTCAGATTGGGATGTGCCGAATTGGAGGTGCTGTCAGAACACCCATGCGGAGATGTCTTGCAGGTGGCTGGAGGAAGTCTGCAGCTCAGGATTCCATGAATCAAGCTCTAGCTTCTACTCACAAGATTAAAGTGTATTAAGTTAACGAGTGCCCCTGCTGTTGGCTTGTTTCAGGGTTCATTTTCATTTGCTTTCTGAAAATGTTGCAAAGAATGGATGGCTGTTAAATTCCTACTACCTCTCCTCTTGGATTTTTTTTTTTTTTTAATAATACCTGACTTGAAAGCAGGCAAGTTAATATATGTGTAACTAATTACTCCTACAGAATCAGGGATTATTTAACTCACGTCTTGTTCAACCTCAATAGGTTACTCATTATTAAATGGATTCACAAACAACCTTTAATGAAAGCATCGCATTCAGTCTATAAGTCGCAATGATTTAGAATAATTGAGTCTGTAGGTCTTGCCTCCCGAGGTCTTGTTGGCCTGTTGTTCTTTGGAAAGCCTTATCTAAAATGTCCAATTTAGCTTGCCTTACTTAAAGTAAATAGTCATTGAAGATATTTTCCAGTTTAAGAGAAACTCTGGTGGAGAATTTCCATGGAAAGAAGTTGATTTCGCTTAGTCCATTCAAGAAGTATTTACTGAGTTCCTACCCGATGTTCTGTGCTGCTACGGGGTTATAAGCCACAGATACAGCCTATCTGGAGCTAATGGCAGAGAAAAAAGAAAAGCCATCTCAGGTGATCGTGTAGAAGGGAGGGGGCTCAAGGAGAGGTCAAGGGAGGTCTTTCTAGGGAAATTCTGTTTAAGCCAAGACTTCAGACTAGAACAGAGGACAGAGACAATGGGGCACAGAAGGAAACATGGCTGGAGGTCAGACATGAGCAGGGGGGTGGGGGGAGGGAGGGAGGCAGGAGAGGACTTGGAAACTTGCAGGCAGTTTGGACTTTATCCCCAGGGTAATGGGTGACCGTGGAAAGCTTTGAAACACGAGAGTGACGGGATCAGATGGAGGGTTTTCTGAAGGTCATTCTGGCTGCCCTGGAGGAAGGATGTGAAGGAGCAAAGTGGAGGTTTGGAGCCGAGCTAGGATGCTGTTGGTGGGCTGGGAAGTTGAGGCAGGCTTGAGGACAAAGCAGACCTGTGGGAGAGCGTTAGCAGGCCAGATGACGGGGCTTATAGGGTCTTACCGGTGAGTGTATAACAAACACCCAAATGTTTACATTCTTCGTTTCGCTTTCTCGCTTCAGCCCCCTCCTCTCTGTCTTCTCTCTCCTTCATGCCGCTGAACCACGGTTGCCGATACCAACAGCTTTCCCTCTCCAGAAACACTGCCCCGTCTTCATCTGGTTGATGGTGCAAGAGTAACTGGCACAGATAGCTCCAAACTTCTTGAAATTCTAACCCTTCTCTGCATCCGAGGCAACGGCCTTTCCTGGTTCTCCTCCTACTTCCTCAGCTCTTCCTTCTCGGACTCCTCTCCCTGAGCTGCCCCTCCACTTGTTCTCTAGATCCTGCATGTCCTCGGGACATAGGCTTGGACCCTCCTCTGCTCCCACCTCTCCTCCTGGGGGAATCTTACCCATCCCCCATCTTAAAACCATCTAGAGGCTGAGAACTCTCATATTCGTATCTCCAGCCCTGTGTCTTCTGTGATCTAACTGACCTAACTGTCCCTTGGCCTGACCATTAGGTTTCCCTATGGGCATTTCCACATCTGCACGAGCACCCCAGATGTGGTGCTTCTGTAGTCTTCTTCCCGCAGGAAAGGGGGCCACCAGCTCCACAGTTAGCTTGACCAAGCACCTGGAAGTCATCCTTAATTCTGTGGTGCCCCACCCCCGTCCAAGGCTAAGGCAAATTCTGTATTGGGTCCGCTCTAAAAGCATACGTCAAATCTATTCACTTCTGTCTCCCTGGCTGTCACCTAGTCCAGGTCTCCACCAGCCCTCACTCAGACCTCTGCAACAGCATTGAACAAACCGACTACATCTATCCTTGCTCCATTACAGTCCATTCTCCAAACATCCACAAAGTTTTTTCTTTTTTAATTTTGCGAAATCACTTTATCATAAAAAAAATCCAAAGATTGCAAAGCTCCTCCTATTTTTTGCTATAATTTGTGTCCTTATGATGCAAATAAAATGGACAAATACTTACTGAACTTCTAGATGCAAGGTTCGGTGCCAAGGTTCGGGAACAAGGTGACCAAGGGGAGTATGCCATCAAGGAGCCAAGAACCCGTGGAGGAGACATGACAGGCATATAGATGCTTTAACATGAGGGTGAAGGTGGCCTGCTGGGAGACAAGTGTTGATGAGCTCTCTCAGAATTCAGAAGAGGAAGCTCTTATGATCTCTGGCTAAGATGGGCTGTTTCATGGGAAAAATGGTTTGGGCAGGTACTTGAGGAATTTGAACATGTTGAGATTGGAGGAAAGAGCATTTTTGGGAGAAGGAACAAAAAGAAAAGGCATGGGGAAGAAGAATGTCTCTCTTCGGTTGATCCACGGGAAAAGGAAAGTGGCAGTTGGGAGACAAGGCTGGAATGTAGCATGAGATCCTGGAACGCCTTGAATTCCACGCTACAGATTCTAGCCTTCATCCTATAGAGTACAGGCAGTGGAAAACTATGAAGGCGTTTGAGCAGGAAAATCACATGGACAAACCTTAATATGATGAGAATAATCTGGCAGCTGTGCCTATAATGACTTAGAAAGGACAGTTCCCACCCCTTAATTTCCTTCTGCTTCTCCAAAGTGACTCGTTTGCCATCACAAAATTTTCTAGTACTCATCTCTTCAAGAGGTGGTGCTTAATTTTCTCTCTCCCTGAGTGGGTGGGCTGAACTTAGCTATTCCCTTCTAATGAATGCAGTGGACCAGGGGCGCTGTAAGTCTCCTCAGACTAGGTCCATCTTGGCCACTCTGTCTCTTGCATTATTTGCTTTGGAGGAAGACAGATGCCAGGTCATGGGCAACCCTCTGGAGAGATCCAGATGGTGAGGAACAGAGGCCTCCTACAATAGCCAAGGAAGTGAACTTGGAAGTTGATCTTGACCCCCGGTCCAGTCCCAGGTGACAACCTGACTGCAACCTCACAAGAGGACTTGCATCAGAAGCGTGAAGCTAAATCACTTAGAGATTTCTGCCCTGCATAAACCATGAGATAATAGATATGTGTCGTGTGGGTTTTATTTTTTTAAGATTTTATTTATTTATTTTTAAAGATTTTATGTATTTGACAGAGAGAAAGACAGCGAGAGAGGGAACACAAGCAGGGGGAGTGGGAGAGGGAGAAGCAGGCTTCCCGCTGAGCAGGGAGCCCGACGCGGGGCTTGATCCCAGGACCCTGGGATCATGACCTGAGCCGAAGGCAGTCGCTTAACCAACTGAGCCACCCAGGCACCCCAATATGTGTTGTGTTTAAGCCAATAAATTTGAGGCAATTTCTTATGAGCAATACTTAACAAATAAAAGTATCCAGAGCGTTTTTTAAAAGCATAGGGGCGCCTGGGTAGCTCAGATGGTTAAGCATCTGCCTTCGGCTCAGGTCATG